GAGGGCATCACACGGCCTCGCCCCTCATGGACTCAAACACTGTTGGTTTCCACACCCCCTAATTAATATTCATTTTTAATAATATTTATTAAGAGCCACTCTGGGCTACGGGCGATTCTGTTTACACGCCCCCTAATTAATAGTAATGAGAGTTCCCGGCACGGGGCCCTGATGAACACCGAGTACCGGGTACCGGGCGCTGTCCCGGCACCGAGGCTCCCTCGATTCTCCGGTGCTCCCGGTACCGGAGCCCCCCCGGCAGAACCCCCCGGTACCGGGGCCCCCTGTGCTCACCCCGGTACCGGTACCGGTTCCGCCCCGGTGCTCCCGGGCCCCCCGTGCTCTCCACGGTGATCCCGGTACCGGAGCCTCCCGTGCTCACCCTGGTGCCGGTGCCGGTATCGGAGCTCCCGTGCTCACCCTGGTACTGGTGCCGGTTCCCCCTCGATGTTCCCGGACTCCCCCTGCTCACCCTGGTGCCGGTGCCGGTTCCGGTGCCCCCCCGGCAGAGCCCCCCGGTACCGGACTCCCCCCCATGCTCACCCTGGTGTCGGTTCCGGTACCGAACCCCCCCTGTGCTCACCCTGGTGCCGGTTCCGGTGCCGGTTCCCCCCCGCCCCGGGACTGGAGCCCCTCCTTGCCCCCCGGTACCGAACCCCCACCCCTGCTCACCCTGGTGCCCGTTCCGGTGCCGGTGCCCCCCCGGCAGAGCCCCCCGGCCTCGCCCAGCGCCGCCCCCGCCGCCAGCAGCGCCAGCAGCGGCAGCGGCCACGGCGCCGCCATCTTGGAGCGCGGGGCACGGCGGGAACGGGGCGGGGCCAGCGCGGGGGGGGGGGGCGGGGCCGAATCGATGGGCGGGGGCTACAGCGAATGGGCGTGGCTACAACGAAGTGGCATTGCTGGAGTGGGTGGGCGGGGCTAGAACGGATGGGCGTGGCTATCGGCGACGGGCGTGGCTACGGTGGAGGAGGCGTGGTTAAGAGGCGTGGGCAGGGCCTATGTAAAGGGGAGGGGCTTCTGTGAGGGGGCGGGGCCAACACGGTGCTTCCATTTGTGTGTTCCCGCCCCCAAATCCAGCCTGGGAACCCCCAGAATGGACAGAGGGACCCCTCAGTGACCTCTGACCCCTCTCGGTAATCCCTGACCCCTCCCAGTGACCCCTGAGATCCCCCCAGTGACATTTTGGGACCCTCCCAGTGACATTTGAGGACCTCCCAGTGATATTTGCAGACACCCCAGTGACCTCTGGGGCTTCTCAATGACCTTTGGGGACCTCCTGGTCACTTTTGGGGACCTCCCAGTGATTTTGGGACCTCCCAGTGACCCTTGGGGACCTCCCAGTGATGCTTGGGGACCTCCCAGTGACACCTGAGTCCCCCACAGTGATCTCTGGGGACCCCCAGTGACATTTGGGGACCTCCCAGTGACATCTGGAGACCTCCCAGTGACCCCTGAGACCTCAGAGTGACCCTTGGAGATCTCCCAATCACCCCTGACCCCCCCAATGACCCCTGAGACCCTCCCGTGACCCCTGAGACCCCCTCAGTGACATTTAGGGATCCCCCGGTCCCCTCTGGGACCCCCCAGTGACCCTTGGGGACTCCCCAGTGACATCTGGGGACCTCCCAGTGACCCCTGAGACCCCTCCCAGTGTTCCCTGAGACCCCTCCCAGTGACATCTGGGGACCCCCCAGTGACCCCTGGGACTCTTCCCAATGACCTTTGGGGACCTCCCCGTCACTTTTGGGGACCTCCCAGTGACATCTGGGGACCCTCAGTGTCCCTTGATGGATTTTGGGGGGGTCACCCCCAGCCCGGTGTCCTCCCCCCTTCGTGTCCCCACTGTCCCCGCCCCCTTCCCAAGCCCTGCCCCCTTCAGGTGAGGCCTCACCTGTCCCGGGAACGGGAATGGGGCAGAGCAAAACCGGGAATGGGCAAAATGGGAATGGGAAACAGGAATGGGAAAATGGGAATGGGCAAAATGGGGATGGGAAAATGGGGATGGGAAAAACGGGAATGGGAAAAACGGGAATGGGAATGGGTGAAATGGGAATGGGAAAAACGGGAAAACGGGAATGGGGAAAATGGGAATGGGCAAAACATGAATAAGCAAATCAGGGATGGGGAAAATGGGAATGGGAAAAACGGGAATGAGCAAAACGGGGATGGACGAATTGGGAATGGGCAAAATGTGGGATGAGAGAAACGGGAACAGGCAAAACGGGGATGGGCAAAACTGGGATGAGAAAAACAGGAATGAGCAAATCAGGAATGGGCAAAATGGGGATGAAGAAAATGGGAAAACAGGAATGGGCAAAATGGGGATGAGAAAAACGGGGATGGGCAAAACGGGAATGGAAAAAACTGGAACGAGAAAAACGGGAACGAGCGAAACAGGAATGGGCAAAATGGGAATGGGCAAAACAGGGATGGGGAAAACGGGGATAAAAAAATGGGAATGGGCAAAACGGGAACAAGAAAATCAGGAATGGGCAAAATGGGAATGAAGAAAACGGCAAAATGGGAATGAGCAAAACAGGGATGGGGAAAATGGCAATGAGCAAAACGGGGATGGGGAAAATGGGAATGAAGAAAACAGGATTGGGCAAAACAGGGAAGAACAAAATGGGGATGAGCAAAACGGGAATGGGAAAAACGGGGATGGGTAAAACAGGAATGGGCAAAATGGGAATGGGCAAAATGGGAATGAGCAAAACGGGAATGGGCAAAATGGGAATGAGCAAAATGAGAAGAAGCAAAACAGGATTGGGCAAAATGGGAATGGGCAAAACAGGGACAAGCAAAATGGGAATGAGCAAAATGGGGATGGGAAAAACAGGGAATGGGTAAAACGGGAACGGGCAAATCAGGAATGGGCAAAATGGGAATGAAGAAAACGGCAAAATGGGAATGAGCAAAACAGGGATGGGGAAAATGGCAATGAGCAAAACGGGGATGGGGAAAATGGGAATGAAGAAAACAGGATTGGGCAAAACAGGGAAGAACAAAATGGGGATGAGCAAAACGGGAATGGGAAAAACGGGGATGGGTAAAACAGGAATGGGCAAAATGGGAATGGGCAAAATGGGAATGAGCAAAACGGGAATGGGCAAAATGGGAATGAGCAAAATGAGAAGAAGCAAAACAGGATTGGGCAAAATGGGAATGGGCAAAACAGGGACAAGCAAAATGGGAATGAGCAAAATGGGGATGGGAAAAACAGGGAATGGGTAAAACGGGAACGGGCAAATCAGGAATGGGCAAAATGGGAATGAAGAAAACGGGAAAACGGGAATGAGCAAAACAGGGATGGGGAAAATGGCAATGAGCAAAACGGAAATGAGCAAAACGGGGATGGGCAAAACAGGAATGAGCAAAATGGGAATGAAGAAAATGGGATTGGGCAAAACGGGAACAAACGAAACAGGAACAAGCAAAACGGCAGCGAGCAAAACGGGAACGGGCAAAAATGGAATGAGCAAATCGGGGATGGGCAAAATGGGGATGGGCAAAATGGGGATGGGCAAAATGGGAATGGGAAAAACGGGGATGGACAAATCGGGAATGGGCAAAATGGGAATGAGAAAAACGAACAGGCAAAACGGGGATGGGGGAAACAGGAATGAGCAAAAATGGGAATGGGCAAAACGGAAATGAGCAAAAATGGGGATGGGCAAAACGGAAATGAGAAAAATGGGGATGGGCAAAACGGGAATGGGCAAAAGAGGGAATGAGCAAAACGAGAATGGGCAAAATGGGGATGAACAAATCAGGAATAGGCAAAATGGGGATGGGAAAAATGGGAATGAATAAAACAGGGAAGAACAAAATGGGGATGAGCAAATTGGGGATGAGAAAAACAGGAATGAGAAAAACGGGAATGGGAAAAATGGGAGTGAGCAAAATGGGAATGGGCAAAACAGGAATGGGCGAAATGGGAATGGGCAAAATGGGAACGAGCAAAATGGGAACGAGCAAAATGAGAACAAGCAAAACAGGAATGAAGAAAACAGGATTGGGCAAAATGGGAACGAGCAAAACGGGGACAAGCAAAATGGGAATGGGCAAAACGGGAATGGTAAAAATGGGGATGGGAAAAACGGGGAATGGGTAAAACGGGAACGGGCAAAACGGGGAGGAGCAAATCAGGAATGGGCAAAATGGGAATGAAGAAAATGGGAAAACGGGAATGGGCAAAATGGGGATGGGAAAAATGGGAATGAGCAAAACAGGAAAGAGCAAAATGGGGATGGGGAAAACAGGAATGGGAAAAACGGGCATGGGAAAAACGGGGATGGAAAAAATGGGAACAAGAAAAACGGGAACGAGCAAATCAGGAACGAGCAAATCAGGAATGAGCAAAATGCGGGATTTTATTCAAATTAGAGCCGGGGGGGCGGGGCCGCTGCTCGGGATGGGCACGGAGCGGGCGAGGCCCGGGACACCGGGAGGGAATTCCTGTCCCGGGACACCGGGAGAGGTCAGCCTGGGACACCGGGAGTGAATTTCCACCCCGGGACACTGGGAGTGCTCATCCAGGAGGGAATGTCTGTCCCGGGACACCGGGAATGCTCATTCCGGGATGGAATTCCTGTCCTGGCACACCGGGCACGCCCGTCCCGGCGCACCGAGAGGGAATTCCTGTCCCGGTACACCCTGAATTCCCGTCCCGGGAGGGAATTCACATCCTGGGACACCGGGAATGCCCACCCGGGAGGGAATTCCTGTCCTGGGATACCGGGAGTACTCATCCGGGAAAGAATTCCCATCCCGGCACACCGGGAGGGAATTCGCATCCCGGTACACGGGGAATTTCCATCCCGGGAGGGAATTCACATCCCGGCACACCGGCAGTCCCGTCGCAGTGCCCTGGTCACTCCCGTCCCCGTACACCGGCAGTGCCCATCCCGGTACACCGGCAGTGCCGTCCCGGTATCCCGGTCACTCCCGTCCCTGTACACCGGCAGTGCCCATCCCGGTACACCGGCAGTCCCGCGCCCTCAGCCGCCCGCGGTGTCCCGCAGGAAGCGGATCAGGTCCCGCATCACGGAGAAGAACCGCAGCAGCACCGCGCTCGGCTCTTCGAGCCCCGGGCCGCTCCCGCCGCTGCTCTCGGCGCTCCCGTTGCTCCCGGCGCTGCCGCCGGTGCTCCTGCCGGTGCTCGCGAAGGTGTCGATGGGCTCGGGGCTCTCCAGCTGCCGCAGGATCCAGCGGCTGAAGAGCCAGGCCGGCGTGAAGACGCAGCCGCGGCCGCTGGCGGTGACACCGAGGAGCCAGAACGGGCCCGAGCCCCGGAACCGGCACACGAGGGGCGCGCCCGGGTCACCCTGACCGGGAGAGCGGAGAGGGGGAAGGGAAGGGAAGGTTTCGGGAAGGGAAGGTTTCGGGAAGGTTTCGGGAAGGTTTCGGGAAGGGAAGGGAAGGGAAGGGAAGGTTCAGGGAAGGGAAGGTTCAGGGAAGGGAAGGTTCAGGGAAGGGAAGGGAAGGGAAGGGAAGGGAAGGGAAGGGGGAGAGTGAGGGGAGAGGGAGGCAGAGGGGGGAGGGGCAAGGTGGGGAAGGGGCAATGGGAAGGGGAGAGGGTCAGCGAAAGGGGGCAGGGAGGCGGAGAGTCAGTGGGGGAGGGGCAGTGGGAGTCAGTGGGGGAGGGGCAGTGGGAGTCAGTGGGGGAGGGGCGGTGGGAGTCAGTGGGGGGAGGGGCAGCCCCGGGACACGGGTGGGGATCGGGATCGGGATCGGGATCAGGACCGGGATCGGGACCGGGGCTGGGATCAGGACCGGGAACGGGACTGGAACCAGGATTGGGATTGGCATCGGGATCAGGATCGGCACAGGGATCGGGAGCGGGATCGAGATTGGCACCGGGACTGGGATTGGGATTAGGACCGGGATCAGGATTGGGATTAGGATTGGAACTGGCACCGGGATTGGCACCGGGGTCGGGATGGCAGCCCCGGGACGCGGGACTCAGGCAGGGAATGGGAACGGGAACGGGAACGGGGCTGGGATTGAGATTGGCACTGGCATCGGGATAGGGATGGGGATTCGGGACTGGGACTGGGATTAGGACCGGGATCAGGATTGGGATGGGGATGGGGATTGGGACCGAGACCGGGATTGGGATTAGGACTGGAGCTGGGACTGGGGTTAGGATTGGAACTGGTACTCGGATTGGGATTGGGATCGGGATTGGGATCAGGATTGGAACTGACACCAGGGTCAGGATTTGGATCAGGATTGGGATTGGGTTTGGAACTGGCACAGGGATCGGGACAGGGACCGGGACTGGGATTAGGACCGCGATAAGGATTGGGATGGGGATTGGGATTGGGACTGGCACCTGGGTCAGGATTGGGATTGGGATTGGGATTGGGATTGGCACCGGGGTGGGGTTGGCAGCCCCGGGACACGGGACCCAGGCAGGGAATGGGAACGGGAACGGGGCTGGGATCGAGATTGGCACCGGGATCGGGATCGGGATGGGGATCGGGACCAGGACTGGGATTAGGACCGGGATCAGGATTGGAATCGGGGCTGGGATTGGGATTGCAGCTGGCACTGGGATCGGGATGGGGATCGGGACCGGAGTTGGGACTGGGATTAGGACTGGAATCAGGATTGGGATTAGGACCGGGATCGGGACAGGGACTGGGATCGGGATTGGGATTGGGACTGGGATTAGGACTGGGATGGGGGATTGGGATGGGGATCAGGACTGGGATTGGTACTGGCACCGGGATCGGGATTGGGATCGGAAATGGGACTGGCATTAGGACTGGGATCAGGATTGGGATCGGGACTAGGACTGGGATTGGAACTGGCACCAGGGTCAGGATTGGGATTGGGATTGGGATTGGGGCCAGGATCAGGACAGGGACCGGGATTGGGATTGGGATCAGGATCAGGATCAGGATTTGGATTGGGATTGGGATTGGAACTGGCACAGGGATTGGCACCGGGACACGGGTCCCAGGTGGGGAACGGGCCCGGGGCGGGGCTCCGGCTGAGGGGCGGGGCTCACCTGGCAGGTGTCTGAGCCGCCCCGCGGGCGCTCCGCGCACACCTGGGGCGGGGCCGCGCTCCCGGCGCTGTCGCAGAGCTCGGGCGGGAGCAGCCGCACCTGCGCCTCCCGCATCACCTCCCGGGGCGGGGCTGGGGGCGGGGCCGGGCGTGAGAGCCCGAACCGGGCACGGCTGGGCACAGCTGGGGACACCTGGGGACACCTGGCACCCTTGGGACACACCCTGGGCACACCTGGCCACACCCGGGTACACCTGGGGACACCTGGGCACATCTGGGTACACCTGGGATACACCTGGGATACACCTGGGGACACCTGGGCACATTTGGGTACACCTGGGGACACCTGGGATACACCTGGGGACACCTGGGGACACCTGGGGACACCTGGGACACATCTGGGACACACCTGGGAACACCTGGGCACACCTGGGTACACCTGGGCACACCTGGGGACACCTGGAGACACCTGGGATACACCAGGTACACCTGGGACATACCTGGGCACACCCGGGACACACCTGGGGACATCTGGGGACACCTGGGCACATCTGGGTACACCTGGGATACACCTGGGTACAGCTGGGGACACCTGGGGACACCTGGCACCCTTGGGCACACCTGGGGACACCTGGGCACCCCTGGGCACACCTGGGACACACCTGGGGACATCTGGGACGCACCTGGGCACAACTGGGACAGACCTGGGACACACCTGGGCACACCTGGGGCACACCCATTACACACCCTGGGCACACCTGGGGCACACCTGTGTCTTCTGTGGGACCCCAGCCCCCATCCCAGGGACCGCAGCCCACCCTCAGGACACACCTGAGACCATGATGGGATCTTAACCTGACACAGAGGCACACCTGGCACTCACCTGTGCCCACCTCAGACACACCTGGCACTCACCTGTGACCCCCATCGTCCCCCGGCACTCACCTGTGCCCCCTCAGCCCCAGCTCAGCCCCACCTGACCCCCACCTGTGCCCATCCCATCCCCCTGGCACTGCCCTGTTGCCACCACGGACCCCCAGCCCCAGCTCAGACACACCTGCTGCTCACCTGTGCCCACCTCAGCCCACCCATTGCTCACCTGTGCCCACCTCAGACACACCTGGCACTGACCCGTGCCCATGTTATCCTCCCCTGGCACTCACCTGTGCCTGCCAGGGCAGCCCAGCCCCAGCTCAGACACACCTGGCATTCACCTGTGCCCAGCTCAGACACCTCAGCCCCACCCGGCACTCACCTGTGCCCCCCTGGCACTCACCTGTGCCCACCAGCGGTGCCCACCCCGCGGTGTAGCACGGCCCGATGCCCTCGGTGCCGCATTGCCCAGCTCAGACACACCTGGCACTCACCTGTGCCCATCCCTCACCTGTGCCCCCTGGCACTCACCTGTTCCTGCCAGCGGTGCCCACCCCACGGTGTAGCAGGGCCTGATGCCCTCCGTGCCCCGCTGCCCATCTCAGACACACCTGGCACTCACCTGTGCCCACCTCAGACACACCTGGGGCACACCTGGCACTCACCTGTGCCCGCCAGCGGTGCCCACCCCGCGGTGTAGCACGGCCCGATGCCCTCCGTGCCCCGCTGCCCATCCCATCCCCACCTGGCACTCACCTGTGCCCATCCCATCCCCACCTGGCACTCACCTGTGCCCATGTCAGACACACCTGGCACTCACCTGTGCCCATCCCTCACCTGTGCCCCCTGGCACTCACCTGTGCCGGCCAGCGGTGCCCACCCCGCGGTGTAGCACGGCCCGATGCCCTCCGTGCCCCGCCGCTCCGCGGCCCGGCTGACGCAGCCCAGCTGCACGAAGTCGCTGCACCGCGCCGGCGGCTGCAGCTGCAGCAGCGCCACGTCCAGCCCCGGGTGCAGCCGCGCCCGCCGCACCCGCCGCACCTGAGCCTCGGGCCCGGGGTCGCTCAGGTCGGCGGCGCCCAGAACCACCCGGCAGGCGGTGACGTTCCTGGGGACACCGGGGACACCGTCAGGGGAGCTGGGGCCAACCGGGACACCGAGGGTAACGGAGGGGGAGGGCAGCATGGATCATCCCGGGGCCATCCCGAGGCCATCCTGGACCATCCCAGATTGTCCTGGATCATCCCAGGGCCACCCTGGGGCCATCCCAGATCATCCCAGAGCGTCCAAAATCATCCCGGATCATCCCAGGGCCATCCCAGAGCTCCCTGAGGCCATCCCAGCCCATCCCAGCCTATCCCGGGTCTATCCCGCCCCATCCCGGACCCATCCCACCCCATCCAGGATCATCTTGAGCCCATCCCAGCCTATCCCGGTCCCACCCGGGTCTATCCCGCTCACCGGGGCAGGCAGCGCGCCGCGGTCAGCAGCCAGCCGGGCGCGATCAGGCCCATCCCGGGTCTATCCCGGTCCCACCCCAGTCCCGCCCCAGCCTATCCTGGGTCTATCCCGGTCCCACCCGGCTCTATCCCAGCCTATCCCGGGTCTATCCCGCTCACCGGGGCAGGCAGCGCGCCGCGGTCAGCAGCCAGCCGGGCGCGATCAGGCTCCCGCCGCAGACGTGGCCGCTGCCGGCCCGCAGCGGGTCCTGGATGCTCGCCAGCCCCGGCCAGGCCCCGGGAACCGGCCCGGAGCCGCCGCCGAACTCCTCGGCCATGGGCTGGAGACCGCACGTTCCGCTGGGGGGGCGGGGACAGATGTGGGGACAGGGACAGACACGGGGACAGGGACAGACACGGGGACAGGGACAGAGGGGACAGGGATGGGGACAGGGACAGACACGGGGACAGGGACAGACACGGGGACAGGGACAGAGGGGACAGGGATGGGGACAGGGACAGACACGGGGACAGGGACAGACACTGGGACAGGGACAGAGGGACACAGGGACAGGCATGGGGACAGAGGGACAGGGACAGGGACAGGGATGGGGACAGGGACAGATGGGACAGGAGCAGGGACTGGGACCGCGATACGGGACAGGGACACCTGACACCAGGACAGGGACAGGGACAGGGATGGTGACACGGGGGCAGGGACATCACCCGGGGACGTGACTGTGCCCACCGGCTCTACCTGACCGGCTGTGCCAGCCCTGGGCTGTGACAGTAACAGGGACACGGGGACACAGGGACAGCGACACTGCAACATGGGGACAGTGACACTCTGACATCGGGAAGGGACAGGGACACAGGGACAGAGACACGGGGACAGTGACCCCCAAGATGGGGAGAGGAACCGTGACACTGGACAGGGACAAGGGGACCCCCGACACAGGGACAGGACACCCCCAGTGCCACACGTGTCCCCTTGGTGGGGCCAGAGCCTGGCACGGGCACGGGGCTGCGACCCCCTCTGGGCTGCGGTGACGTCGGGGATCTCGGGGACCTCGGGGACCCTCGGGACACCCTCAGGGGACCCTGGGGACCCTCGGGACAACCTCGGGGACCTTCGGGGATCCTCAGGTGACCTTGGGGACCTTCGGGGGACCCTGGGGACGCCCTCAGGTGACCTCGGGGACACTCAGGAGACCTTGGAGACCCTCGGGGACACTCAGGGGACCCTCAGGTGACCTTGGAGACCCTCGGGACACCCTCAGGGACACTCAGGTGACCTTGGGGACCCTCGGGCGCCCTCGGGGACCCCGGGGTGTCACCCACTCGCACGAGTCCCAGGTGGCGCGGGCGGGCGCTGCCAGCAGGAGCAGCAGGAGCCAGAGCGGAGCCATGGCTGGGCCAGGGCACAGCGGCAGCGCCCGAGGCTCCCCGCGGGTCCCCCCCGGTCCCGAGGGTCCCGCCGGGCCGGGGATGACGTCACAGAGCGGCCCCGGTTCCGCCCGGCGCCGTCACAGAGCGGTGGAACCGGGGGGGGCGGGGGGGGGGGGAGCGGAGGGTCCGGGGCGGCCTCGGGCAATGCCGGGAGCTCCCGGAACAAAATCCCGGTCCCGAAAATCCCATCCCGAAATTGTCATCCCAAAGATCTCGAGGCAAAAATTCCTGTCCCAAAAGTCCCTGTCCCAAAAATCCCATCCTAAAACATCGCAAAACACCCATCCCAAAAATCCCTTCCTAAACCATCCCAAAAATCCCGAACCAAAATCCACATCCCAAAATTGTCACCCCTAAAATCCCCGTCCCAAAAATCCCATCCCAAAAATCCCATCCCAAAAATCCCATCCTAAAACATCCCAAAAACTCCCGTCCCAAAAATCCCCTCCTAAAATCTCCATCACAGAACTGCATTCCCAAAATCCCCATCCCAAAACTCCCATCCCAAAATCCCCATCCCAAAACTCCCATCCCAAAACTGTCATCCCAAAATTCCCATCCCAAAATCCCCATCCAAAATTCCCGTCCTAAAACATCCCAAAATCCCCATCCCAAAAATCCTCATCCCAAAAATCCCAAGCCAAAATTGTCATCCCAAAATTCCCATCCCAAAATACCTGAAAATTCACATCCCAAAATCCCTATCCCAAAATACCCCAAAAGCCCCATCCCAAAAACTCCCATCCCAAAATCCCTATCCCAGAATTCCCATCCCAAAATATGCCAAAAACTCCCATCCCAAAAATCCCATCACAGAATTGCATTCCTAAAATTCCCATCCCAAAATCCCTATCCCAAAATTGCCATCCCAGAATTCCCATCCCAAAATACCCCAAAAGCCCCATCCCAGAAACTCCCATCCCAAAACTGCATTCCCTAAATCCACATCCCAAAATTCCCTTTCAAAAATTCCAATCCCAAAATACGCCAGAAACTCCCACCCCAAAATCCCCATCACAGAATTGCATTCCCAAAATTCCCATCCCAAAATATCCCAAAATTCCCATGCCAAAAATCCCATCCCAAAATTGCATTCTCAAAATCCCCATCCCGTAATTCCCTTCACAGAATTCCCATCCCAAAACATCCCGGAACTCCCATCCTAAAATCCCTATCCCAAAATTCCCATCCCAAAATATCCCAAACCCCCCATCCCAAAAATTCCCATCCCGAAATTCCCATTTTCTCCCAAAATCATTTTCATCCCAAAAATCCTTGTTTGTAAACAAGGGAAGCTTCTCAGCAGGGAATTTTTTTTTATTTTTATTTATTTTTATTTTTACAAAAATCTATTTTTCTGTATGTAAACAGGGGAAAGTTCTCAGCAGAGAAATTATTTTATTTTTATTTTTAATTTTAGTTTTAGTTTATGTATATGTTTATCTTTACGGGGTTTTTATTTTTATTTTTATTTTTAAATTTTTATAAAACTCAATTTTTCTCCTTGCAAATGGGCGAAGCTTCTCAGCAGGGAACTTTATATATATTTATATTTATATTTATATTTATATTTATATTTACAGTTATAGGTATTTTAATATTTTATTTATATCTTTATTTTTCCAAAGCTCCATTTCCCCTGTACACACGGAAGGTTCTCAGCAGGGAGAATAAATAAATAAATAAATAAATAAATAAATAAATGAATAAATAAAAATAAAAACAATAACAATAACAATAACAATAATAACAATAACAATAATAATAATAATAATAATAATAATAATTATTATTATTATTATTATTATTATTATTATTATTATTATTATTATATTTTTATTTTCCCAAAGCCCCATTTCCCCTGTCCAGACGGGAAGGTTCTCAGCAGGGAGAAAAAAAAAAAAAAAAGAAATTTTATTTTTATTTTTACAAAGCTCCATTTGTGGTCAGGGCCCTTTTTTGAGGCTGTCGAGGAAGAGCCGCTCGCTCTGCAGGAACTCGTGATCCTGTTGGGGGCAGAGGGGCCGGGGCTGAGCCAGCCTGGAGCCCCTGGGCCTTCCAGAAGGTTCCGAGCCCCGACCAGCCCAGCCCCGGCCAGCTGGGCCCAAACCCTTCCCTACAATCCCAAATCCCTTCCCAGACAATCCCAAACCCTTCCAACAACCCCAAAACCTCTCCCACACAATCCCAAACCCTTTTCCCACCAGTCCCTTTCCCTTTCCCCAGTCCCAAACCCTTCCCCACAATCCCAAACCCTTTCCAACAACCCCAAACCCTTTCCCCCATCCCAAACCCTTCCCCACAATCCCAAACCCTTCCCCACAATCCCAAATCTTTTCCCCAGACAATCCCAAACCCTTTCCCCCATCCCAAATCCTTTCCCCCAATCCCAAACCCTTTCCCCACAATCCCAAACCCTTTCCCCCCATTCCCAAATCCATTTCACACAGTCCCAAACCCTTGCCCAGAAAATCCCAAACCCTTTCCCTCCCATCCCAAACGTTTTCCATAATCCCAAACCCTTTCCCACAATCCCAAACTCTCCCCCATTCCAACCCTTTCTCTCCCATCCCAAACCCTTTCCCAGACAATCCCAAACCCCTTTTCCAGACCAGTTTCCCCCGACCATTCCCACCCTTTTCCCTTTCCCCCCAGACAATCCCAAACCCTTTTCCCCACAATCCCAAACCCTTTCCCAGACATTCCCAAACCCTTTCCCACAATCCCAAACCCTTTCCCCACCAGTCCCTTTCCCTTTCCCCCATCCCAAACCCTTTCCCACAATCCCAAACCCTTTCCCCACCAGTCCCTTTCCCTTTCCCTCATCCCAAACCCTTTCCCCACAATCCCAAACCCTTTCCCCCATCCCAAACCCTTTCCCACAATCCCAAACCCTTCCCCACAATCCCAAACCCTTCCCCACAATCCCAAATCTTTTCCCCAGACAATCCCAAATCCTTTCTCCCATTCCAAACCCTCTCCCCATTCCCAAACCCTTTTCCCCCAGTCCCAAATCCTTCCGCACAATCCCAAATCTCTTCCTAGACAATCCCAAACCCTTTCCCACAATCCCAAACCCTTTCCCACAATCCCAAACCCTTTCCCCACATTCCCAAACCCTTTCCCACATTCCCAAACCCTTTCCCACAGTCCCAAATCCTTTCCCAGACAATCCCAAACCCCTTTTCCAGACCAGTTTCCCCCGACCATTCCCACCCTTTTCCCTTTCCCCCCAGACAATCCCAAACCCTTTCCCACAATCCCAAACCTTTTCTCCCATCCCAAACCCTCTCCCACAATCCCCAACCCTTTCCCAGCAGGTTCTCAGCCCCTTTCCCAGCCCAGCTCTTCCTGATCATTCCCAAACTCTTCCCAGATCCCCCCTGGCCATTCCCAAACCCTTTCCCCACAATCCCAAACCCTTCCCCCCATTCCCAGTTTCCCCAGTTCCCCCATTCCCATTCCCAGTTTCCCCAGTTCCCCCATTCCCAGTTCCCCCATTTCCAGTTTCCACAGCTCCCCCATTCCGTTCCCCCATTCCCAGTTTCCCAGTTTCCCCAGTTCCCCCAGTCCCAGTTCCCCCATTCCCATTCCCAGTTCCCCCATTCCCAGTTTCCCAGTTTCCCCAGTTCCCCATTCCCGTTCCCAGTTTCCCCAGTCCCGTCCCCACCATCCTGGCGCGGTGTTTCAGCAGCAGGACGTGTCCGTAGAGCGCGGCCGCGCTGTCCCCGCTGTCCCCAAGGAGTGTCCCCAGGGCTGGCAGGAACCCGGGAGAGGCTGCAGGAGGGGACAGCAGAGTGTCCCTGTCCCCAGTGTCCCCAATGTCCCCAAGCAGTGTCCCCAGGGCCACTGGAGCCCCTGCAGGAGGGGACAGCAGAGTGTCCCTGTCCCCAGTGTCCCCAAGGAGCCCCAGAGCCCCTGCAGGAGGGGACAGCAGAGTGTCCCTGTCCCCAATGTCCCCAATGTCTCCAATGTCCCCAGAGCCCCTGCAGGAGGGGACAGCAGAGTGTCCCTGTCCCCAATGTCCCCAATGTCCCCAGAGCCCCTGCAGGAGGGGACAGCAGTGTCCCTGTCCCCAATGTCCCCCAGCAGCGCCTCCCACCTCTCCCCACCCTGCACCCCCAGCCCATGAGGATCCCAAAAACGGCCCCAGTGTGCTGATGGGGACTGTCCCTGTCCCCAAGCTGTCCCTGTCCCCAGCAGTGTCCCCAGTGCTGTCCCTGTCCCCAGCAGTGTGCCCAGTGGTGTCCCCAGTGTTATTCCCAGCAGTGTCCCCACCCCTGGCAGTGTCCCCAGTGCTGTCCCCATACCCAGCGGTGTCCCCAGAGTTGTCCTTGTCCCTGGCAGTGTCCCCGTCCCTGGCAGTGTCCCCAGCGTTGTCCCCAGTCGTGTCCCTGTTCCCAGCAGTGTCCCCATACCCAGAGGTGTCCCTGGCAGTGTCCCCAGCACTGTCCCCATACCCAGTGGTGTCCCCAGCATTGTCCCTGTCCCTGGCAGTGTCCCTGTCCCTGTCCCCAGCACTGTCCCTGTCCCCAGCAGTGTCCCCATACCCAGAGGTGTCCCCAGCGTTGTCCCCGTCCCTGGCAGTGTCCCCAGCGTTGTCCCCAGTCGTGTCCCTGTCCCCAGCAGTGTCCCCATACCCAGAGGTGTCCCCAGCGTTGTCCCCGTCCCTGGCAGTGTCCCTGTCCCTGTCCCTGTCCCCAGGGCTGGGCCCAGCTCCTCCTGCAGCTCCCGCAGCTGCTCCCGCTGCCGCTCCAGGCTGTGCCGGCCCTGCAACAACGGCAACGGGAACGGGATGGGATGGGATGGGATGGGATGGTGGGGATGGGGAATGGGGAAAAGGTGGGAATGGGAAATGTGGGAAATGTGGGAGTGGGAAATGGGGATGTGGGAATGGGAAAGGTGGGAATGGGAAAGGTGGGAATGGGAAAGGTGGGAATGGGGAATATGGGAAAGGGAAATGTGGGAAATGGGGGGAAATGTGGGAATGGGAAATGGGGATGTGGGAATGGGAAAGGTGGGAATGTGGGGAATAGGAAAGGCAGGAATGGGGAATGTGGGAAAGGGAAATGTGGGAATGTGGGAATGGGAAATTTGGAAAGGGGAAATGTGGGAATAGGAAAGGTGGGAATGGGAAAGGTGGAAAATGTGGGAATGGGAAAGGTGGGAATGGGACAGGTGGGAATGGGGAAGGTGGGAAAAGGTGGGAATGGGAAATGTGGGAAAGGGAAAGGTGGGAATGTGGGAAATGGGAAAGGTGGGAATGGGAAAGGTGGGAAATGTGGGAAAGATGGGAATGTGGGAAAGATGGGAAATTTGGAAAGGGGAAATGTGGGAATAGAAAAGGTGGTTATGTGGGAAAGGGAAAGGTGGAAATGGGAAAGGTAGGAATGGAACACTGGGAATGGGATAAGTGGGAAATGAGGGAATGGGAAAGGTGGGAATGGGGATGTGGGAAATGGGACAGGTGGGAATGGGAAAGGTGGGAAATGTGGGAAATGTGGGAATGGGAAATGTGGGAAATGTGGGAAAGGTGGGAATGGGAAATGTGGGAAAGGTGGGAATGTGGGGAATGGGAAAGGCAGGAATAGGGAATGTGGGAAAGGGAAATGTGGGAATGGGGAAGGTGGGAATGGGGGAAACATGGGACTAGGAAAGATGGGAATGGGACAGGTGGGAAATGTGGGAAAGGTGGGAATGGGAAAGGTGGGAATGGAATGCTGGGAACAGGACAGGTGGGAATGGGGAATGTGGAAAAGGTGGGAATGGGAAATGTGGGGAATGTGGGATTGGGAAATTTGGAAAGGGGAAATGTGGGAATGGAAAGGTGGGAATGTGGGAAAGGGAAAGGTGGGAATGGAATGGTGGGAATTGGACAGGTGGAAATGTGGGAATGGGAAAGGTGGGAATGTGGGAAATGTGGGAATGGGAAAGGTGGGAATGTGGAGAATGTGGGAATGGGGAATGTGGGAAATGTGGGAATGGGAAAGGTGGGAAATGTGGAAATGGGGAATGTGCGAAAGGGAAAGGTGGGAATGGAATGGTGGGAAATGGGAAAGGTGGGAATGTGGGGAATGTGGGAAAGATGGGAAATTTGGAAAGGGGAAATGTGGGAACAGAAAAGGTGGTTATGTGGGAAAGGGAAAGGTGGAAATGGGAAAGGTAGGAATGGAACACTGGGAATGGGACAGGTGGGAAATGAAGGAATGGGAAATGTGAGAAATGTGGGAAAGATGGGAATGGGAAATGTGGGAAAGGTGGGAATGTGGGGAATGGGAAAGGCAGGAATAGGGAATGTGGGAAAGGGAAATGTGGGAATGGGGAAGGTGGGAATGTGGGAAACATGGGACTAGGAAAGATGGGAATGGGACAGGTGGCAAATGTGGGAAAGGTGGGAATGGGAAAGGGGGGAATGGAACACTGGGAATGGGACAGGTGGGAAATGAAGGAATGGGAAAGGTGGGAATGTGGGGAACATGGGAAACGTGGGAATGGGAAATGTGGAAAGGGGAAATGTGGGAGTGGGAAATGTGGGAATTATGGAAGGGGGATTTTCAGGGAAGGAGGGGGGATTTTCCAGGGTGATTTCCAGGGAATGAGGGGGTATTTGCCTGTGTCAGTCGCTGCTCCTGCTGCCGCAGCCGCTCCTGCTGCTCCTGCAGCTCCTGCAGCTGCTGCCGCTGCTCCTGCTGCGCCCGGCGCGCCTCCCGCAGCGCCCGCTGCCCGTCCTGCTGCTGCTGCGCCGAGCGCTGCACCGGGAAAACGGGAATGGGAATGGGAATGGGACACGGGAATGGGAAACGGGAATGGGGATGGGAAACGGGAATGGGGATGGGAAATGGGAATGGGAATGGGAAACGGGAATGGGGATGGGAAACGGGAATGGGGATGGGAAATGGGAATGGGGATGGGAATGGGGAATGGGAATGGGGAATGGGGAACGGGGAATGGGAATGGGGATGGGAATGGGAACGGGAATAGGAACGGAGAATGGGGAATGGGGAATGGAAATGGGAGTGGGGAATGGGGAATGGGGAATGGGAATAGGGAACGGGAATGGGGAACGGGAATGGGGAATGGGGCTGCCCGTCCTGCTGCTGCTGCACCGAGCGCTGCACCAGGAAAACGGGAATGGGAATGGGAAATGGGAATGGGAAACAGGGAATGGGGAACGGGGAATGGGAATGGGGAATGGGGGAATGGGAATGGGGAATGGGAATGGGGGAATGGGAATGGGGATGGGGATGGGGAATGGGAACAGGAATGAGGATGGGGAATGGGAACAGGGAATGGGGCTGCCCGTCCTGCTGCTGCTGCGCCGAGCGCTGCACTGGGAATGGGAATGGGATTGGGAATGGGGAATGGGAATGGGAAATGAGGAATGGGGAATGGGAATGGGAAACAGGGAATGGGAATGGGGCTGCCCGTCCTGCTGCTGCTGCGCCGAGTGCTGCGACAACGGGAACGGGAACGGGATCAGGGATGGGAATTGGCAACAGGGACTGGGAACAGGAATGGGAACAGGGAATGGGGAACGGGAATGGGGAACGGGAATGAGGAGGGGAATGGGAATGGCAATGGGAATGGCAATGGGACAGGGAACAGGATCAGGAATGGGATGGGGAACGGGAATGGGATGGGGAACAATGAACGGGGATGGGAACAGGAATGGGGAACAGGGATGGGAACGGGGAATGGGACGGGGAACGGGGACGGGAATGAGACCGGTAATGTGGAACGGGACTGGGGCTGGGACTGGGACAGGGAACAGCATCGGGATGGGAGAATGGGACTGGGAATGGGAACGGGACCAGGACAGGGGAATGGACTGGGAACAGGACTGGGATGGGGAATAGAACAGGGAATGGGATCGGGAATGGGACCAGGACAGGGACAGGGAATGGGACTGGAATGAGGAAACAGCACTGGGATGGGGAATGGCACTGGGAAAGGGACTGGGACAGGGAATGGGACGGGGACAGGGAACGGCACCAGGACTGGGATCGGCGCTGGGATGGGGGAATAGCACGGACACAGGGAACAGGACCCAGGCACGGCTCAGGGGGATGTGGAGCCCCAGTTTAGGGGAGGTGGAGCCCCAGTTTGGGGGGAGGTGGAGCCCCAGTTCAGGGGGATGTGGAGCCCCAGTTTGGGGGAGGTGGAGCCCCAGTTTGGGGGGATGTGGAGCCCCAGTTTGGGGGGATGTGGAGCCCCAGTTTGGGGGAGGTGGAGCCCCAGTTCAGGGGGATGTGGAGCCCCAGTTTGGGGGAGGTGGAGCCCCAGTTTGGGGGGATGTGGAGCCCCAGTTTGGGGGAGGTGGAGCCCCAGTTTGGGGGAGGTGGAGCCCCAGTTTGGGGGGATGTGGAGCCCCAGTTTGGGGGGATGTGGAGCCCCAGTTTGGGGGGATGTGGAGCCCCAGCTCAGCTCTGTCAGTTCCATCCCCGATGCTCCGTTTACCTCGGCCAGCTCACGGATCTCCTCCTCCCGCTCCTGCAGCCGCTGCTCAGCCCTCAGAACCTTCTCCTTCTCCAGCCTCAGCTCCCTCCAGGCCTCCTCCAGCTCCTCCCTGTCCCTGGCCAGCTGCTCCTCCTTGGATCTCAGCTCCCTGCTCCGGAACTTCAGCTCTGCCTGATCCTTTGGGGGGACAGCAAACCTCACCTGTCCCGTCCTTTGGAGCGGCAGAGGGAGGAGGAGAAGGTGCTTTAGGAACCCCGGGTGCCCATGGGGGACCTTGGCCAGGCTCCTCAGCGCCGCGTCCAGGCCCAGGGCGCGCTCCTGGTGCTGCTCGTCCCGCTCCCGGCCCAGCCGCTCCCGCTGCCGGAGCTCGGTCCACGCGGCCGCCAGGCGCCGCCGCTCCTCGGAGCGCTCCCGGAGCTCCGCCCGCTGCTCCTCCAGCCACGCTGCCTGCGGGACCGGGGACAGCTCCAGGAGCCGCTTCCCGCGGGGTTTGCCCTCCTGCAGCCCCAGGAGCTGGGTTTGCCCTCCTGCAGCCCGGCCCTGCCGCTCACAGAGGCCAATTCCAGAGGCTGCTCCAGCCCGGGAGCTCCGGCCCCGTGTGGGCACCCAGAGGGCTCGACCTGGCCTGTCCTGAGCCCCTTCCAGATCCCATCCTGCTGGTTCTGAGCCCCTTCCAGATCCCATCCTGCTGGTTCTGAGCCCCTTCCAGATCCCATCCTGCTGGTGCTGAGCCCCTTCCAGCCCTGAGCCTTTTCCCTTCCAGCTCCAAGCCCTGCTCCCACGCCACCTGGTTCCGAGCCCCTTTCCACTCCTGGCTGGTCCTGAGCCCCTCTTCCAGTCCCACTCTCACCCAGCTGGTTCTGAACACCTTCCAGTTTCCATCCTGGCTGGTTCTGAGCCCCTTCCAGCCCCGAGCCCTGTGGGACCGGGGACAGCTCCAGGAGCGGGGTTTGCCCTCCTGCAGCCCCAGGTGTGGGGTTTGCCCTCCTACAGCTCCAGGTGCGGGGTTTGCCCTCCTGCAGCCCCAGGTGCGGGGTTTGCCCTCCTGCAGCTCCAGGTGTGGGGTTTGCCCTCCTGCAGCCCCAGGTGTGGGGTTTGCCCTCCTACAGCCCGGCCCTGTCGCTCACAGAGCGAAATTCCAGAGGCTGCTCCGGCCCTGTGTGGGCATCCAGCGGATTTGACCTGGCTGGTTCTGAGCCCCTTTCCTGGTCCCACTCCCATCCTGGCTCGTCCTGAGCCCTTTTCCCGGTCCTGGCTGGTTCTGAGCCCCCTCCCCACCCCAGTCCCTCCCGCAGCGGGTCCAGGCCCCCACCCTGGCATCCCCCAGCGGTTCCCTGGGGAAGCCGCAGCCCCTCCCTGCTCGGGGCTCACCTGGGGCTGACCTGGGGCTGACCTGGGCCTGTCCCCGCTCACCTGGGGCTCCCCTGGGCCTGTCCCCGCTCACCTGGCGCTCACCTGGGGCTCCCTGGGCCCTGTTCCTGCTCACCTGGGGCTCCCCTGGGCGTGTCCCTGCTCACCTGGGGCTCCCCTGGGCGTGACCCCGCTCACCTTGGCCTCGTCCAGCGCCGCCCTCTCCATGGCCAGCAGCTGAGCCGAGAGCCGGCGCTGCTCCTCCAGCGCCTCCCGCAGGGAATCCGCACGGCTGCGCTCGGCGGCGGCGCGGCGGCGCTCCTGGGGGGACGGGGAGAGAGGGATGGGGACAGGGGGACAGGGACATGGGGACATGGGGCGGGGACACAAGGACAGGGACAGGGAAAGGGGGACAGGAGACAGGGACAAGGATATTGGAAGCGGTGCTCCTGGGGAGGCACCGAGAGTGGGATGGGGACAGGGATGGGGACAGGGGACATGGATGGGGACAGGGACAGGGACAGGGACACGGGGAGCGGCGCTCCTGGGGAGAGATCAGGAGTGGGATGGGGACAGGGACAGGGAATGGGGGATAGGGACAGGATGGGGACAGGGGATAGGGACAGGGACACAGGCTGTGGACATGGGACACATGAACAGCAATAGGGACAGGAGACAGGGACAGAGGAACGGGGACAGAGATGGGGACAGGAGACAGGGACAGAAGGAGAGGGCCATGGATAGGGACAGGAACATGGACAGGGGACACAGGCAGGGATAGGAACAGGGACACAGACATGGACACGGACACAGAGATGGACACAGGCACAGGACAGAGACACAAGCAGGGACAGGGACATGGACACAGCTCCAGGAGGGGATCCCAGCAGGAAGCTCCTCTGTGCAGGCACAGACACGGACACAGGACAGGGACATGGGACATGGACAGGGACACAGCCACAGCTCGGGGACGGGGCCTCACCTGCTCCAGGAGCTGCTCCCGCTCCCCCAGCCTGGTCTCCAGGTCAGCCACGGCCTCCTGGAGCCGGCTCTGCTCCCGCTCCGCGTCCCGCTGCTGCCGGCACAGCCTGGCCTGGAGCGCTGCCAGGGGCAGCCGGGAGGCAGGAGCTGGGATCACCCTCCATGCACAGGGAGATCCCACAGGGAAAAAACCCTCTGTTCCTCCTCAATCCCACCCCAGAACAGGGAAATCCCACAGAGGTAAAAACCCCTCTGTTCCTGCTCAATCCCACCCCAGAACAGGGAAATCCCACAAGGAAAAACCCCTCTGTTCCTGCTCCATCCCATCCCAGGACAGGGAGATCCCACAGGGAAAAATCCCCGTGTTCCTGCTCAATCCCACCCCAGAACAGGGAAATCCCACAGAGGTAAAAACCCCTTTGTTCCTGCTCCATCCCATCCCAGGACAGGGAAATCCCACAACAAAAAACCCCTCTGTTCCTGCTCCATCCCATCCCAGGACAGGGAGATCCCACAGGGAAAAATCCCCGTGTTCCTGCTCAATCCCATCCCAGAACAGGGAAATCCCACAGAGGTAAAAACCCCTTTGTTCCTGCTCCATCCCATCCCAGGACAGGGAAATCCCACAACAAAAAACCCCCGTGTTCCTGCTCCATCCCATCCCATCCCATCCCAGAACAGCGAAATCCCACAGGGAAAAACCCTCATGTTCCTGCTCCATCCCATCCCATCCCAGGACAGGGAAATCCCACATGGAAACCCCCTGTGCTCCTGCTCCATCCCATCTCATCCCATCCCACTGTGGGATCTGGATCAGGACTTTGCCAGCCTCAGCTCCCGGCCTCTGGCTCGCCAGGAACAACTCAAATTCTGTGAATTCTGAAAATTCTGTGGATTTTGTAAATTAGGCAAATTCCATGAATTCTGAGAATTCTATAAATTCTATGAATTCCATGAATTCTGCAAACTCTGTGAATTCTGCAAATTCCAAGAATTCCGTGAGTTCCATGAATTCTGTAAATTCTGCAAATTCAATTATGGGACTTCCATGAATTCTGTGAACTCTGTGGATTCCATGAATTCCATGATTTGTGCAAATTCAGTGAATTCTGTGACTTCCGTGAATTCTGAGAATTCTACAAATTCCGTGAACTCTGTGAATTCCGTGAATTCTGCAAATTCTGTGAGTTCTCTAAATCCTGAGAATTCTACAAATTCTGTGAATTCCATGAATCCCATGAATTCTGTGAACTCTGTGATTTCTGTGAATTCCATTAATTCTGCAAACTCTGTGAATTCTGAGAATTCTACAAATTCTGTGAATTCCATGAATTCTGCAAATTCTGTGAATTCTGTAAATCCTGAGAATTCTACAAATTCAGTGAATTCTATGAATCCCATAAATTCTGTGAACTAAGTGAATCCAATGAATTCTGTGAACTCTGTGAATTCAGTGAATTCCATTAATTCTGTGAATTCTGTGGCTTCCATGACTTCTGAGAATCCTACAAATTCTGTGAATTCCATTAATTCTATTAATTCTGCGAATTCTGTGAACTCTGTGAATTCCGTGAACTCTCTGAAATCTGTGATTTCTGTGAATTCTACAAATTCTGTAAATTCCACGAATCCCATGAACCCTGTAAACTCTGTCAATTCCGTGAATTCTGTGAACTCTGTGATTTCTGTGAATTCTGTGAATTCCATGAATTCTGTGACCTCTGTCAAATCTGTGATTTCTGTGAATTCCATGAATTCCATGAATTCTGTGAACTTTTCCCATTCCCTGGGTGTCCCGGACGGAGCCCAGCCCCTGTTCGAGCGCCATTTCCCACTCAGCCCAGCAGAGCCCCAGGCCAGGATCCCCCCAGGAGGGCTGGGACAGGGATCTGCTGATCCTTTGGGATCCTTTGGGATCCTTCTGGACACTGGGATCTGTCCCGGGACCCTCTGGATCCCGTGGGATCGGCTCTGGGATGGAGCAGAGGGTCCCACTGGAATTATGCACTCGGAGGGAACTTACCTGTGAGGGAATTTACCTGAGAGCTGCTCGTCCTGCTCCTGGGGTCTGGGGTGGTCCTGGGGTCCGGGGTGATCCTGAGTTGTGGGGTGGTTCTGGGATCTGGCGTGGTCCTGTGATCTGGGGTGATCGAAAGATCTGGGGTGATCTATGGGTCTGGGGTGATCCCGGGGACTGGGGTGATTCTGGGGTCTGGGATGGTTCTGGGATCTGGGGTGTTTCAGGGATCTGGGGTGATCCTGGGGTGATTCTGGGGTGATCCTGGGGTCTGGGGTGATCCCGGGATCCAGGGTGATCCTGGGGTGAGGAGAGATCCAGGGATTTGGGGTGTTCCAGGAATCTGGGGTGATCCTGGGGTTGCACGTGATCCTGTGCCCTGGGGTGATTCAGGGATCTGGGGTGATCCAGGGGTCTGGGATGATTCAGGGATCTGGAGTGATCCAGGGAACGGGGTGATTCAGGGATTTGGGGTGTTCCGGGGGTGATCCTGGGGTGATTCAGGGGTCTGGGGTGTTCCTGGGGTGATCCTGGGGTGTTCCTGGGGTGATTCAGGGATCCGGGGTGATCCTGGGGTGATCCTGGGGTGATCCTGGGGTGATCCTGGGATCTGGGGTGTTCCTGGGGTGTTCCTGGGGTGTTCCTGGGGTGATCCCGTGCCCCGCGGTGCCCCAGGTAAGGAGCAGGGATCCGGGAGCACAGGTGAGCCCCCGTTCGTTACCTGGGGCAGCTCTCCGGGAGCTCCTGCAGGGCCTGTCCCCGCCACCGGGCCCGCTCCAGCTCCAGCGCCCGCACCTGGCGGCAACGGCACGGGCTCCAGGTGACCCCGCAGGTGACACCCACAGGTGACATCCCCAAACCCCCACAGGTGACCGCCCCAGGTGACCCCACAGGTGACCCCACAGGTAACTCCACAGGCGATCCCATAGGTGATCCCACAGGTGACACCCACAGGTGACCCCAAAGGTGACCCCACAGGTGACACCCACAGGTGACCCCAAAGGTGACCCCAAAGGTGACACCCTCAGGTGACCACCACAGGTGACCCCACTGTGACAGCTGACCCAGGTGGCATCCCCAAACCCCCACAGGTGACCCCCCAGCTGACCCTAAATGTGACACCTTCAGCTGACACCCCCAGGTGACCCCCAGGAGTGACTCCCACAGGTGAACCTCACAGGTGACACCTCCCAGTGACCCCCCAGGTGACTCCACAGGTGACATCCCCAAACCCCCACAGGTGACATCCCCAGGTGACCCCACAGGTGACACCCTCAAGTGACCCACAGGTGACCCCTCATCCTCACCTGGTTCTCCAGCTCCTCCAGCCGGGCCTGGAGGGTCTGCAGGGCGGCCCCACAGCCGGGATGGTCCTGGGACAAGTGGGATTGGAGAGATCCCAGATCCTGGTGGGGCTGGGATGGGAGAGATCCCAAATTCTCCTTGTGGGGCTTGGATGGGAGAGATCTCAAATCCTTGTGGGATGGGATGGGAGAGATCCCAAATCCTTGTGGGGCCTGTATGGGAGAGATCCCAAATCCTTCTGGTGGGGCCTGGATGGGAGAGATCCCAAATCCTCCTTGTGGGGCTGGGATGGGAGAGATCCCAAATCCTTGTGGGGCTGGGATGGGAGAGATCCCAAATCCTGGTGGGGCTGGGATGGGAGAGATCCCAAATCCTGGTGGGGCTGGGATGGGAGAGATCCCAAATCCTCCTTGTGGGGAATGGGTGGGAGAGATCCCATATTCTGGTGGGGCTGGGATGGGAGAGATCCCAAATCCTCCTTGTGGGGCTTGGATGGGAGAGATCTCAAATCCTCCTTGTGGGGCTGGGATGGGAGAGATCCCAAATCCTTGTGGGGCTGGGATGGGAGAGCTCCAGGACCCACCTGGCGTTGTTGGGATGGGGAGGATCCCAGATTCTCCTGGTGTCTCCGGGCCGGGAACGCTGCGGGAAGCTCCGGGCAGAGCCAGGACGGCAGAGCTCGGGGATTCTCCGGGCGGGATGGGGCTGGATCCCACACCAGATCCTCCTGTGGGACACGGGGATGCTCCAGGAGGGGCCTGGGAGGGGCAGCTCCCTCTCTGGGAATGCTGATCCCTGCCCAGATCCCAAAGGATCCCAAGGGATCCCAGGGATCCTCCCTGCTCCTGCCCCAGCACTCACCTGGGCGGGCGTGGCAGGACCCGGCACCTCCTGCACGGCTGGGGTGGAAAATGTGACAAAGCCATCACTGAGACACGCGGGAGGAACGGAACCATCCCATGGATCCCATGGATCCCATTGTCCCATCCCATGGATCCCATTGTCCCATCCCATCCCATCCCATGGATCCCATGATCCCATCCCATAGATCCCATCCCATGGATCCCATGGATCCCATTGTCCCATCCCATAGATCCCATTGTCCCATCCCATGGATGCCATGCCATCCCATCCCATAGATCCCATCCTATTGATCCCATGGATCCCATTGTCCCATCCCACAGATCCCATCCCATTGATCCCATGGATCCCATTATCCCATCCCATAGATCCCATTGTCCCATCCCATCCCATCATCCCATTATCCCACAATCCCATCCCATGGATCCCATTGTCCCACCCCATTCCATCCCCATCATCCCTGTTATCCTGACATCACATTATCCCAATTCCATTATGCCATTATCCCATTTTTCCATCCCATTATCCCATTATCCTGTTATTCCATGATCCCATCCCGCTATCCCATTATCCCATCCTGTTATCCCATTACGGCATCTCATTATCCCATATGATCCCATGATCCCATCCCAATATCCCGCAATCCCATTATCCCATTATCCCACTGCCCTGTTATCCCATTATCCCATTTTTCCATCCCATCATCCCATTATCCTGTTATCTCATTATCCCATTCTGTCATCCCATTATCCCATCTCATTATCCCATTATCCTTTCCTGTTATCCTATTTTTCCATCCCATCATCCCATTATCCCATCTCATTATCCCATGATCCCATCCCATCATCCCACGATCCCATTATCCCGCTATCCCAATATCCCATTATCCCAATATCCCATGATCCCATCCCATTGTCCCGTTATCCCCCAATCCCACTATTGCATTACCCCATCCCATTATCCCATCATCCCATGATCCCGTTATCCCATTATCTCAATATCCCGCTATCCCATGATCCTGTTATCCCATTAGCCCACTATCCCAATATCTCATTATCCCACTATGCCATTATCCCACAATCCCTCAATCCCGTTATCCTGCTATCCCGCTATCCTACTTTCCCATTACCCCGCTATCCCGCTATCCTATTATCCCATTATCCCATTATCCCGCTACCCCATTATCCCATTATCCTGCTATCCCATTATGCCGCTATCCCATCCCATCAGCCCGCTATCCCATTATCCCGCTATCCCGTTACCCCGTTATCCTGTTACCCCGCTATCCCGTTATCCCACGATCCCGCTATCCCAAAATCCCACGATCCCGTTATCCCAATATCCCATTACCCCATTATCCCACAATCCCATTATCCCATTATCCCGCTACCCCATTATCCTGTTATCCCAATATCCCGTTATCCCGTTATCCCACAATCCCACTATCCCATTATCCCAATATCCCATTATCCTGTTATCCCACAATCCCACTATCCCATTATCCCGCTATCCCATTATCCCATTATCCCGCTATCCCATTATCCCGCTATCCCATTATCCCGTTATCCCATTATCCCATTATCCCGCTATCCCGTTATCCCGTTATCCCACTACCCCATTATCCCGTTATCCCACTATCCTGTTATCCCGTTATCCCACGACCCCACTATCTCATTATCCCGTTATCCCCTGGCCCAGCTCCCCCGGTTCCAGAGGACGGCCCGGGGTCCCCCCCAGGTGTCCCTGCCCAGGCCAGGTGACCTCTGAGGACACCTGGGGGGTGACAGAGCCTCACCTGCTGCCACCTGTGACACCTGTGCCACCTGTGCCGTGTCACCTGCTGACACCTGTGCCACCTGTGCCGTGTCACCTGGTGCCACCTGACTGAGGGGGGGCTCCAGCCTGGGGGGGAACAAATCCCAGGGGAGAGTCAGGGGGGCGGGGCCTGGCCTCTGACACCTGTGACATCTGTGTGTCACCTGTGTGTCACCTGTGGCACCTGTGACACCTGTGTGTCACCTGTGCCACGTCACCTGTGCCACCTGCGCCATGTCACTTGCGTCACCTGTACCACCTATGCTGTGCCATCTGTGCCACCTGAGTCACCTGTGCTGTGCCACTTGTGCCATGTCATCTCTGCCACCTGTGCCACTTGTGTCACCACCTGTGCTACTTGTGTCACCACCTGTGCTGTGCCACCTATGCCGTGTCACCTGTACCATGTCACCTGTGCCACCTGTGTCATCCGAGTCACATGAGCCACCTGCGTCACCTCTGTCACCTGTGCCACCTGTACCATGTCACCTGTGCTGTGCCACCTGTGTCACCTCTGTCACCTGTGCCAGCTCCGTCACTCGTGCCACCTGTGTCACCTGTACCATGTCACCTGTCCTTTGTCACCTGTGCTGTGTCAGCTGTGCCACCTCTGCCATGTCACCTGTGTCACTTGTGCCACCTGTGCTGTGTCACCTGTGCTACCTGTGACAGCTGTGCCATGTCACCTGAGTCACCTGTGCCACCTCTGTCACTTGTGTCATGTTACCTGCACCACCTGGGTCACCTGTACCATGTCACCTCTGCCACCTGTGCACCTGAGTCACGTGAGCCATGTCACCTCTGTCACCTGTGCCAACTGGGTCACCTGTGCCACCTGTGCCATGTCACCTGTGTCACCCATGCTGTGCCACCTGAGTCACCTGTGCCACCTGGGTCACCTCTGTCACCTGTGCTGTGTCACCTGTGTCACCTCTGTCACTTGTGTCACCCGTTCCATCTGTGTCACCTGTGCCATGTCATCTGTGTCACTTGTGCCACCTGTGCCATGTCACCTGTGCTGTGTCACTTGTGCCACCTGTGACAGCTGTGCTGTGCCACCTGAGTCACCTGTGCCACCTGGGTCACCTCTGTCACCTGGGTCACCTGTGTCACCTGTGTGTTACCTGCCCAGTGTCAGGGGTGTCACCTTTGGGACTCTGAGGGAACGGGGACACCCCAAACCTCCATCCCGGGGTTACCTCCCCCACAATGGTCACCTGAGCCCTCCCTGGTGACACCTGAGCCCTCCCAGGTGAGCTGACCCCTCCCAGGTGACACCCGAGCCCTCCTAGGCGACATCTGTGTCCCAGGTGACACTTGAGCCTTCCCTGGTGACACCTGTGTCCCTCCCAGGTGACACCTATGTCTGAAGTGACACCTGAACCCTCCCAGGTGACACCTGAGCCCTCCTAGGTAACACCTGCGTCCCACTCAGGTGAGCTGACCCCTCTCAGGTGACACCTGAGCCCACCCACATAACACCTGTGTCCCAGGTGACACCCAAGCCCTCCCAGGTGACACCTGTGTCCAAAGTGACTCCTGACCCCTCCCAGGTGAGCTGAGCCAGGGGAGCTGAGCTCAGGTGGGGGAATTCAGAGCAGGGACATCCTTGGGGACACCTGGAGGGGACACCTGGGACAGGGACATCCCTGGGGACACCTGGGACAGGGACAGTGACATCACCTGGGACACCTGGGACGGGGACATCCCTGGAGACACCTGAAGGGGACTGGGGCAGTGACATCCCCAGCGACACCTGGAGGACACCTGGGACAGTGACATCACCTGGGCACACCTGGGACAGTGATGTCACCTGGCACACCTGGGACAGTGACGTCACCTGGGCACACCTGGGACAGTGACGTCACCTGGCACACCTGGACCTCCTGGACGCCAGGTGGGAGCTCCCGGGGGTTCCCTTTACCTGCCGGGCTCGGGGGGCTCCGGGACCCTCCGGGGGCGGGAATTCGGCTCCGGGGCCAGGGCGGGGCCGGGGCGGGGCCGCAGGGGGGATCCGGGTCCTGGGATGTCCTTGTCCTTCGGTCCCGGGAAATCCTCGTCCTTCTGTCCCAATCCTGGGAAATCCTTGTCCCCCAGTCCCATGGGATCCTTGTCCTTCTGTCCCAATCCTGGGAAATCCTTTTCCTTCGATCCCAATCCAAGGAAATCCTTGTTCCTCAATCTCAATCCCGGGTGATCCTCGTCCTTTGATCCCAATCCTGCGGGATCTTTGTCCTTCTGTCCCAGTCCTGGGAAACCCTTGTCCTCTAGTCCTGTGGGATCCTTGTTCTTCTGTCCCAATCCTGAGGGATCCTTGTCCTTTGATCCCAATCTTGGGAAATCCTCGTCCTTCGATTCCAATCCAAGGAAATCCTTGTCCCCCAATCGCGGGAAATCCTCGTCCTTTGATCCCAATCCTGAGAGATCTTTGTTCTTCTGTCCCAATCCAAGGAAGTCCTTGTCCTTCGATCCCAATCCAAGGAAATCCTTGTTTTTCTGTCCCAATCCCGGGAAATCCTCGTCCTTTGATCCCACTCCTGAGGGATCCTCGTCCTTTGATCCCAATCCAAGGAAATCCTTGTTCTTCAATCTCAATCCTGGGTGATCCTTGTCCTTTGATCCCAATCCCTGGAAATCCTCGTCCTTCTGTCCCAGTCCGGTGGAATCCTTGTTCTTCTGTCCCAATCCAAGGAAGTTTTTGTCCTTTGATCCCAATCCCAGGAAATCCTCATCCTTCTGACCCAGTCCTGGGTGATCCCTGTCCTTCTGTCCCATTCCCATGTGATCCCTGTCCTTCTGTCCCATTCCCGTGTGATCCCTGTCCTTCTGTCCCACTCCTGGGTGATCCTTGTCCTTCTGTCCCATTCCCATGGGATCCTTGTCCTTCTGTCCCATTCCCGTGGGATCCTTGTTCTTCTGTCCCACTCCTGTGGCATCCTTGTCCTTCTGTCCCATTCCCAGGAAGTCGTCGTCCCCCAGCCCCAGGAAATCCTCGTCCTTCAGCCCCAGCCAATCGGCCCCGGAGGGACGTCGGGAGCTGCTCCCAACGGAGCACCTGTGGGGACAGAGGGACACTGGGGACACTGGGGACAATGGGGGGCACTGGGGGCATTGGGGGCATTGGGGACAATGGGGGCATTGGGGACAATGGGGACAACAGAGGACACTAGGGACATTGGGGCAATGGGGACAATGGGGACTGGGCAGGGGACAATAGGGACACTGGGGACATTGGGGACAATGGGGACACTGGGGACAATGGGGGACACTGGGGACAATGGGGCACTGAGGACAATGGGGACACTGGGGACAACAGAGGACACTGGGGACACTGGGCACAATGGGGGCATTCGGGACAATGGGGACACTGGGGGGCATTCGGGACAACGGGGACAACAGAGGACACTGGGGACAATGGGGGACAATGGGGACAATGGTGACATTCGGGACAATGGGGACACTGGGGCACTGAGGACAATGGGGACTGGGCAGGGGACACTGGGGACATTGAGGACACTGTCAATGGACAGTGGGGCATTGGGGACATTGGGGGACAATGGAGGCATAGGGGACAATGAGCACAACGGGGCACTGGGGACAATGAGGACACTTGGGACATTGGGGACACTGGGGGATATTGGGGACAATGGGGGACACTGGGGGACAATGGTGATGCTGGGGACAATGAGCACAACAGGGACGCTGGGGACAACGGGTACAATGGGAACAGTGGGGGCAATGGGGACAGTGGGGAAAATGGGGACAATAGGGGACAATGGGGCCATTGGGGACATTGGGGGCATTAGGGGCACTGGGGGACAATGGGGGACAAAGGGGGCATTGAGGACACTGGGGACAATGGAGATACGAGGGACAATGGGGACAATGGGCACCCCAGGGGCACGGGGACACTGGGGACAGTGGGGGACAATGGGGACATTGGGGGACACTGGGGGACAAAGGGGGCATTGGGGACACTGGGGACAATGGGGATATGGGGGACAATGGGGACAATGGACACCTCGGGGGCATTGGGGACACTGGGGGATACTGGGGGATACTGGACACACTGGGGACTGGGTAGGGGACAATGGAGACATTGGGGACGATGGGGGCACTGGGTACAATGGGGACATTGGGGACAATGTGGACATCGGGGGTATTGGGGACATTGGGGGACACTAGGGGATATTGGAGACAATGGGGACATTGGAGGCATTGGGGACAATGGGGACTGAGCAGGGGACATTGGGGACAATGGGAATATGAGGGACAATGGGCACACCATGGGCACTGGGGACAATGGGGGACAATGGGGGATAAAGGAGGCATTGGGGACACTGGGGACAATGGGGACAGTGGGGGACAAAGGAGGCATTGGGGACACTGGGGACAATGGGGACAGTGGGCACACCAGGGGCATTGGGTACAACGGGGACACTGGGGGACAAAGGGGACAAGGGGGGCACTGGGGGACAAAGGGGACAATGAACACAACAGGAACGCTGGGAACATTGGTGGACATTGGGGGTCAAAGGGGATATTGGGGACAATGGGGACACTGGGGACAATGAGCACAATGGGGCACTGGGGACAATGGGGGCGTTGAGGGCAATGGGGATATTGGGGACAATGGGGACATTGGGGGACAATGGAGATGTGAGGGACAATGGGCACCCCAGGAGCATTGGGGACACTGGGGACAGTGGGGAACAATGGGAATACTGGGGACAATGGTGACATTGAGGACAATGGGGGACACTGGGGACAGTAGGGGACATTCAGGACATTGGGGACATCGGGGACACAGCCAGGTGGGGACATCCCCCCCTCCCCGGTACCTCCGTCCCCGTCTCCGCCCGGTCCCCGAGGCCACCGAGGGCTCGTAGGATCCGAAGGGAAATCCCGGCCCTGCGGAATGACAGCGCACGGAATTCCCACAAAATTCCCACAAAATTCCCAAAATTCCTGGAATTCCCAGTGGGATTTCACCCTCTGGACCCCCCCATGCTCACCCGGCTGCTCCTGCCCCCGGCTCTCCCTCTGCAGCTCCAGCTCCGCCTTTCCCGGCTGCTCCTGGCTCCTGGCACGGCCCCTCCGGAGCCCCTGGCTGGGCACAGGTGGGGTGGCACTGAGGGGGCACTGAGGTGGCACCAGGGTGGCACGGGACCCCTCCCCGTCCCCGTTGTCCCCTCACCCCCGCGGCGTTCCCGGCGCGCTCCCGGCTCCGTCGCTGCCGAGCCCCAGGGAATCCATCAGGTCATCGACATCGTCCCCAAAGGTGACATCGGCACGGGGCGGGGCTGGGGGGGTGGCACTGGTGGCATCTGGGACATCCCTGGGTGCCACCAGCTCTGGGACATCTCAGGGACATCCCCAAGTGTCACCAACTGTGGGACATCTCCAGGTGCCACCAATTGGCTCTGGGACATCTTCAGGTGTCACCAGCACTGGGACAACTGTGGGTCGATCCCACAGCAATGGGGTTGATCCCACAGGACTGGGGTTGATCCCATGGATTGGGGTTGATCCCAGGGTTAATCCCACGGCATTGGGGTCGATCCCACAGGATTGGGGTTGATCCCATGGAATGGGGTTGATCCCACAACAATAGGGTTGATCCCACAGCAATGGGGTTGATCCCAGGGTTGATCCCACAGGTTTGGGGTCGATCCCAAGGGAATTCCCGGTACCTTTTCGGGGGCCCGGCCCCTTCCCGCCGCGTTTCCCCGTCCCGGACCCGGCTCTGGCCATTCCCAGGATTTCGGCATCCAGCTCGTCCAGCTCGTCCAGCTGATCCCGGAGATCCATGGGATCCACTGGATCCGGATCCTGGTGATTTGTGGGATCCACTGGATCCGGATCCTGGTGATCCGTGGGATCCTGGTGATTTGTGGGATCCATGGGATCTCGATCCCGATGATCCATGGGATCCCGGTGATTTGTGGGATCCAGCTCCTGCTGGGGAGCAGCTCCTGCCCTCACCTGCAGCCCAGGTGAGATCCCAAATCCCTTGGGAATTCCGCCCCGCTCACCTTCGTCCCTTCCGCCTTCCCCGCTGGGAATTCCCTGGTTTTTGGGAATTTCCCATCTCCCGTTCCTTGGGAATTTCCCATTTCCCATTCATTGGGAATTTCCCAATTCTCGTTCTTTGGGAATTTCCCATTTCCCGTTTTTTGGGAATTTCCTGTTCCCCATTGGGAATTTCCCATTTCCCGTTCCTTGGGAATTTCCCATTTCCTGTTCATTGGGAATTTCCCATTTCCCATTCCTTGGGAATTTCACATTTCCCGTTTTTTTGGAACTTCCTGTTCCCCATTGGGAATTTCCCATTTCCCGTTCCTTGGGAATTTCCCATTTCCTGTTCATTGGGAATTTCCCATTTCCCATTCCTTGGGAATTTCCCATTTCCCGTTTTTTGGGAATTTCCCTTCCCCCACTGGGAATTTATCAACTCCCATTGGGAATTGCCCATTTTTTTGGGGAATTTCCCTTCCCTCACAGGGAATTTCCCCGTTGGTAATTTCCCGGTTTTTGGGAATTTGCCGTTTTTTTGGAACTGCCCGTTCTTCGGGAATTTCCTGTTCCCCGTTAGGAATTTCCTGCTTTTTGGGAATTTCCCATTTTTTGGAGTTTCCCATTTTTTGGGAATTTCCAATTTCCCATTGGAAATTTTCCCTTTTTCGGAAATTTCCCCTTCCCCATTGGGTATTTCCCGTTCCCTATTGGGTATTTCCTGTTCTTTGGGAATTTCCCTGTTGGGAATTTCCCATTTCCCATTTTTGGGAATTTCCCATTTTCTGGGAATTTCCTGCTCTCCATTGGGAATTTCCTATTTCCTGTTGGGAATTTCCTGTTTCCCACTGGGAATTTCCCATTCTTTGAGGGAATTTCCCATTCTTTGGGAATTTCTCCTCTTCCATTTAGGAATTTCCTTTTCCCCGTTGGGAATTTCTTGTTTTTTTGGAATTTCCCGTTTTTTGGAGTTTCCCATTTTTTGGAAATTTCCCCTTCCCCATTGGGTACTTCCTGTTCCCTGTCGGGAATTTCCCATTCTTTGGGAATTTCCCATTTTCTGGGAATTTCCCACTCTCCACTGAGAATTTTCCATTTCCCATTTTTCTGGAATTGCTCATTCTTTGGGGAAATTTACCATTTTTTGGAATTTCCTGTTCTTTGGGAATTTCCTATTCCCTTTTGAGAATTTCCCATTCTTTGGGGGAATTTCCCTGTTCCTTAGGAATTTCCCCTCCTCCATTGGGAATTTCCTTTTCCCCATTGGGAATTTCCTCGGTTTTTTTGAATTTCCCATTTTTAGGAATTTTTCATTTTCTGGGAATCTCCCACTCTCCATTGGGAATTTCCCATTTTTCTGGAATTGCCCATTCTTTGGGGAATTTCCCCCTCTTTGGGAATTTCCTTTTCCCCGTTGGGAATTTCCTGGATTTTTTTGGATTTCCCATTTTTTGGAGTTTCCCATTTTTTGGGATTTTTCAATTTTCCATTGGGTATTTCCCATTTTTTCTTGTTCTTTGGGAACTTCCCATTCCCTGTTTGGGAATTTCGTCTTTGGGAATGTCCCATTCCCCTTTGGGAATTTCCTTTTCCCCGTTGGGAATTTCCTGGTTTTTGGGAATTTCCCATTTTTTGGGAATTTCCAATTCTCCATTGGTTATTTCCTGTTTCTTAGGAATTTCTCCTTCTTTGGGAATTTTCCACTTTTTCGGATTCTCCTGTTCTTCGGGAATTTCCCATTCCCTTTTGGGAATTTTCCCATTTTTTGGGATTTTCCCGTTCTTTGGGAATTTCCCCTTCTCCATTGGGAATTTCCACTTTTTTTGGGAATTTTCCGCTCTTTGGGAACTTCCCGTTTTTTGGGATTTTCCAGGTTTTTGGGATTTCCCCCCCTCAATACCGATTCCGGCCCACCCCAGGCACAGCCCAGGTGAGGGGGCTCACCTGGGATCACCCAGAGCTCACCTGGGATCACCCAGGGCTCACCTGTGCCCACCTGTGCCCACCTGGGCTCACCTGCAGGAAGGAGGCGCGGGAACCTCGGGAGGGCGGGGCCGGGGCCTCGTCTGGAAACAAGGGAGGGGTCAGGGATGGACACGGAGACAGGTGGGGATCCCCCCCAGGTGAGCCCCAGGGCAGGGATCCCCCCCAGGTGATTCCCAGGTGACCCCAGGGGATTCCCAGGTGATCCCCCCCAGATGATTCCCTCCAGGTGACCCTCCACATGTGACCCCAAGTGACCCCAGGTAATCCCCTCCAGGTGACTCCCCTCAATTGACCCCAGGTGATCCCACATGTGATTCCAAGGTGACCCCCTCCAGGTGATTCCCTCCAGGTGATCTCAAGTGACCCCAAGTAATTCCCAGGTGATTCCAGATGACCCCCGCCCCCCCAGGTGATCTCCCCAGGTGAACCCCCTCAGGTGAGTCCAGGGCAGGGGATCCCCTCCAGGTGACTCCCAGGTGATCCCAGATGACCCCAGGTGATTCCCACCAGGTGACCCCAGGTAATTCCCAGGTGACCCCCCCCAGGTGACCCCCAGGTAACCCCAGGTGACCCCCCCCAGGTGACCCCGTTGGAGCTCCCCCGTTACCATCGGATCCCAGGAGCTCCCCGAGCACGTCCTGGATGGGATCTGGAACGGGACAGAGCACAGGTGAGCACAGGTGAGCTTCAGGTGAGCTCCAGGTGAGCCCAGGTGTGCCCAGGTGAGCCCCAAGTGAGCCCAGGTGAGCCCAGATGTACCCCAGGTGGACCCAGGTGAGTCCAGGTAGACCCAGGTGAGTCCAGGTGTGCCCAGGTGAGCCCCAGGTGGGCCCAGGTGAGCCCAGGTGAGCACAGCTGAGTCCAGGTGTGCCCAGGTGAGCCCAGATGGGCCCAGGTGAGCCCCAGGTGTACCCCAGGTGTGCCCCAGGTGAGCCCAGGTGGGCCCAGGTGGGTTCCAGGTGAGCCCCAGGTGAGCCCAGATGGGCCCAGGTGGGTTCCCCGTACCAGGCAGGTGGGGAAAGCTCCTGGGACATCTCACCTGTCCCCTGGGACACCTCACCTGTCACACCTCACCTGCCCCCTGTCACATCTCACCTGTCACACCTCACCTGTCCCCTGGGACACCTCACCTGTCACACCTCACCTGTCACATCTCACCTGTCACACCTCACCTGTCACATCTCACCTGTCCCATCTCACCTGTCCCCTGGGACATTCCCACCTTGCTCCATCCCAGCATTCCCAGGGACCCAAAGCCCCTGGAGAGCAGGTGGGGACAGGTGGGGACAGGTGAGGGGCACAAAACCAGGTGAGGAGAACAAGGACAGGTGAGGAGGACAGGTGAGAGCAGGTGAGGACAGGTGAGGAAGACAAGGACAGGCAAGGACAGGTAATGACAGGTGGGGACAGGTGAGGGGCACAAAACCAGGTGAGGAGAACAAGGACAGGTGAGGAGGACAGGTGAGAGCAGGTGAGGACAGGTGAGGAAGACAAGGACAGGCAAGGACAGGTAAGGACAGGTGGGGACAGGTGAGGACAGATGAGGCGGGTGAGGAGGACAAGGACAAGTGAGGGGGATGAGGACAGGTGAGGACAGGTGAAAACAGGTAAGGAAGGTCAGGACAGGTGAGGACAGGTGAGGACAGGTGACACCAGGTGAGGACAGGTGCCAGGTGAGGGGGATGAGGACAGGTGCCAACACTCACCTGGGGAGCGGCTCCGGGCCCGGCCAGCCTGGGGAGAGACAAAATTTCCTGGGGAGAGACGGAAACACCGAAACCTCCCCACGGCACAGGTGAGACAGGAGGGGCTCACACCTGGATCACACCTGGAGCACACCTGGATCCCACCTGGATCTCACATCTGGATCCCACACCTGGATCACAGCTGGATCTCACACCTGGATCCCACCTGGATCCTGCACCTGGATCTCACCTGGATCCCACACCTGGATCCTGCATCTGGGTCCCACCTGGATCTCACACCTGGATTCCACATCTGGATCCCACCTGGATTCTGCACTTGTCACACCTGGATCCCCTCCCCCGTCTCTCCCGTCACTCACCCTGGCCCGTCCCGGCCCCTCCGCCATTCCCGGGCGGTCCCAGATCCGCTGCCCGGTACCGGCTCCGGGACCCCGCGCTCAGCGCGGCCCTGAGGGGAGACGGAGGCGCCGCTCGGGTCCCGTTCCCGCTCCCATTCCCGGGTCTCATTCCCGCTCCCGTTCCCATTCCCGCCCGCGGCTCCCCCGCCTCCCTCACCCGTTCCCGCGCTCGCCGTGGCCGCCGCCATATTGCGCGCCGCCCTCATGGCAGGCCCCCGCTGCCATAGCAACGGGGCTGCCACGCGCGGCGCCTGATTGTAACCCTGCCGTTACCATAACAACACGTTGCCCCTAAGGAAGGCCCTGCTGCCATGGTGACGGGGTTGCCCCGCGCGGCGCCTGACTGGAAACCCGCCGTTACCATGACGACAGGGCTGCCCCGAGCAGCGCCTGCTCCGAGCCTCTGTCGCGATTCTCCCCCGTATCGCCGGCGATCCCCACGTATCGCGGGGTTTATCCCTGCCGGGAGCTCCGCGTTCCCAGGCTCGGGTACCCCCGTGGGAAACATCGCGATATGTCACCATAAAATCGCGATACCGCCACACAACCCCCTCAATGTGGCCTTAAAATCGCGATATCGCAACACAACTTCCGGGTGTGGCCTTAAAATCGCGATATCGCGACACAACCCCCCCAATGTTGCCTCAAATCGCGATATCGTGACACAACTTCCGGCTGTGGCCTTAAAATGGCGACACAAGCTCTGGAACGTGGCCAGAAAATGCCAAAAATCGCCCGGAGGCCCCAAAATCGCCTTTATTGATCAACAAACGGGGCCGGGCCGGAAATGGGGGAAATGGGGGAGGGGAACTGGGATATACTGGGATGGACTGGGAGCGCTGCGCTGGCTGCACTGGTCCGGACTGGTCTGTACTGGGTTGTACTGGTTTATACTGGGTTGCACTGGGTTGTACTGGGTTATACTGGTTTATACTGGTGGGGCCCTATTGGTAGTAGAGCTCCAGGTTCATCCCGTCGTGGATCTCATCTGGAGGCGCCGTCAAGGGAAACGAATTCGGGGTTTTTGGGGGGTTTGGGGTCGGGGTTTTGGGGTTCTGGGGGGTTTGGGGTTGGAGGATTTGGGGTTGAGGGGTTTTTGGGGTTCTGGGGGGGTCGGGGGTGTTTGGGGTTGGGGTTTTGGGGTTGAGGGGTTTTGGGGTTGAGGGGTTTTGGGGAGGAGCTCTGCGGTTTTTGGGGTTCTGGGGGTTTTTGGGGTTGGAGGATTTGGGGTTTTTGGGGTTCTGGGGTTGAAGGATTTTGGGGGAAGTTTCTGGGGGATTTTTGGGGTTCTGAAGTTTTTAGGGTTCTGGAGGGTTTGGGGTGCTGGAGGTGTTTGGGGTTGAAGGATTTTGGGGAGAGGGTTTGGGGGTTTTTTGGGGTTTAAGAATTTTGGGGAAGGGTTCTGGGGGGTTCTGGGGTTTTTGGGGTCGGGTTTTAGGGGTTCTGGAAGGTTTGGGGTGTTTGGGGTTGAAGGATTTTGGGGAGGAGCTCTGGAGTTTTTGGGGTGTTTGGGGTTGAAGGATTTTAAGGGGAGTTTCTGGGGGATTTTGGGGGTTCCGAGGTTTCTGGGGGGTTTTTGGGGTCGGGTTTTAGGGGTTCTGGGGTGTTTTGGTGTGTTTGGGGTTGGAGGATTTGGGGATTTTTGGGGTGTTTGGGGTTGGGGTTTAGGGGGTTCTGAGGTTTTTTGGGGATTTTTGGGGTTGAGTTTTAGGGGTTCTGGGGTGTTTGGAGTTGGAGGATTTTGGGGAGAGGGTTTGGGGTTTTTGGGGTTTAAGAATTTTGGGGAAGGGTTCTGGGGAATTTGCAGGTGTTTGGGGTTGGGTTTTTGGGGTTCTGGGGGGTTTGGGGTCGGAGGATTTGGGGGTTTTTGGAGTGCTTTGGGTCAAGTTTTTGGGGTTGAAGGGTTTTGGGGAGAGTTTCTGGGGGGTTTTGGGGTTCTGGGAGATTTTGGGGTCAGGTTTTTTGGGGTTCTGGGGGTGATTGGGGTTGGAGGGTTTGGGAATTTTTTGGGGTTTAAGAATTTTGGGGAAGGGTTCTGGGGGATTTTGGGGTCAGGTGTTTTTGGGTTCTGGGGTTGGGTTTTTGGGGTTCTGTGGGGTCACTCGGGCCAAGATGGGGGTCAGGTTTTTGGGGTTCTGGGGTCGGGTTTTTGGGTTCTGGGGTCGGGTTTTGGGGTTCTGGGGGGTTTTTGGGGCTGGGTTTTTTGGGGTCGGGTTTGGGGGGGGTTTTGGAGGCTTTTAGGGTCAGGTTTTTGGGGTTCTGTGGGGTTTTGGGGGTCAGGTTTTTGGGGTTCTGTGGGGTTTTGGGGGTCAGGGTTTTGGGGTTCTGGGGGGTTTTTGGCATTCTGGGGTGTTTGGGGTCAGGTTTTAGGGGTTCTGTGGGGTTTCAGGGTCAGGTTTTTGGGGTTCTGGGGGGTTTTTGGGGTTGGGTTTTTTGGGGTCAGGTTTGGGGGGGGTTTGGGGGCTTTTAGGGTCAGGTTTTTGGGGTTCTCTGGGGTTTTTGGGAGTGTTTGGGGTCAGGTTTTTGGGGGTTTTTAGGGTCAGGTTTTTGGGGTTCTGTGGGGATTTTAGGAGTGTTTGGGGTCAGGTTTTTGGGGGTTTTTAGGGTCAGGTTTTTGGGGTTCTGTGGAGTGTTTGGGGTCAGGATTTTGGGGGGTTTTGGGGTCAGGATTTTGGGGTTCTGGGCGGTTTTCAGGCTCAGGTTTGGGTGGATACAGTCCCCAAGCGTGACGTGGTCTTTGAAGATCGTGTACCTGGGGGGCAGAGAGGGGGGGGTCACCCGCAGAGCAGGCAGCACCCCCCCCATGGCCCCCCAAAACCCCGGGGCTCCATCCTGAGCCCCCCAAACCCCCTGTGCCCCCCAGAGCACCCCAAAACCCCCAAGGTGGCCCCCAGACCATTTATGGAGGACAATCCTGAACCCCAAACCCCCCATGGCCCCCAGTGCCCCCCAGACCATTTTTCGACCACAGTCTTGTCCCCAAACCCCTCCTCAGCAACCCCAGGTGCCCCCTGTGCCCACCAGGTACCCCCCAATGCCCCCCAGGTGCCCCCAGACCATTTTTTGAGGACAATCTTGTTCCACTGGGTGCCCCCCATGCCCCCCAGACCATTTTTTGAGCACGATCTTGTCCCCAAACCCCTTCCCAGCCCCCCCAATGCCCCCCCAGGTGCCCCCCAGACCATTTTTTGAGCACGATCTTGTCCCAGCGGGTGCCGGTCTGTGCCGCTATCAGCTTCTTCAGGTCCCGGATCGAGTCCTCGGGGCTGCCCCGGCGTCAAGGAAAAGGGGACACGGGGACCCCAAAACCGCCCCAAAACGGCCCCCAAAAACACCCCAAAACCGCCTGAAAACCATCCCAAAACTGCCCCAAAACCGCCCCAAAAACACCCCAAAACTGCCCCCAAACAACCCTAAAACCACCCCAAAATGGCCCCCAAAACTGTCCTAAAACAACCCCAAAACAACCCCAAAATTGCCCTCAAAACAAACCCCAAAACTGCCCCAAAACAACCCCAAAAGCACCCCAAAATGGCCCCCAAACAACCCCAAAACAACCCCAAAAACACCCCAAAACGGCCCCAAAACCGCCTGAAAACCATCCCAAAATTGCCCCAAAACCACCCCAAAAACACCCCAAAACTGCCCCCAAACAACCCTAAAACCACCCCAAAATGGCCCCCAAAACTGCCCTAAAACAACCTCAAAATTGCCCTCAAAACTGCCCCAAAACAACTCCAAAATCCTCCAAAATGCCCCCAAAACCTGCCCCAAAATCTTCCAGATCAACCCCACCGAAACTGCCCTAAAACCTTCCCAAAACTGCCCCAAAACAACCCCAAAACCACCCCAAAATCCCCCAAAACCAGCCCAAACACACCCTGAAAACACACCCAGAACACCCCAAACCTGTCCCAAAACACCCCCCAAAACCACCCCAAAATCTTTCCCAAAACAACCCCAAAACATCCCGAAACACCCCCGAAAACTGACTCCAAAATCCTCCAAAACTGCCCCCAAAACCACCCGAAATCTTCCAAATCCACCCCACCAAAACTGCCCCAAAACTGCCCCAAAACTGCCCCAAAATTGCCCCCAAACAAGCCCAAAATCCTCTAAAACTGCCCCAAAACTGCCCCAAAACAAGCCCAAAACTGCCCCAAAACTGCCCCAAAATTGCCCCCAAAACTGCCCCAAAAAAGAAAACCCCAAATCCACCCCAAAAGAAAACCCCAAAACCATCCCCAAACACCGCAAAACAACCCAAAAAAAATGTGCAAAACCATCCCCAAAAACCATCCCCAAAAATAAAACCCAAAACATCCCCCAAAACCCCAAATCCCCCCAGAACACCCCAAAATCCCCCAAATCCAGTGGGATATTTGCATTTCACCCGAACCTTCTTGCCCAGGCGGTCGTTGCACACGACCTCGATCATGGCTGGGAACAAAAAATGGGGAAAAATGGGGAAAAATGGGAAAAAATAGGAAAAAAGGGGGGGAAAATGAGGAAAAAATGGGGAAAAAATGGGAAAAAATAGGAAAAAAGGGGGGAAATGTGGGGGAAAATGGGGGAAAATTGGGGGAAAAGGGAGAAAGGGGGGAATAAGGGAATGGGAGAAATGGGGATGGGAAATGGGAAAAAGGGAAATGAGAATGGGAATATGGGAAATGGGAATTGGGGGGGAAAGGGGAAAAAGGGGGAAAAGGGGGGAAAGGGGGGAAAAGGAAAAAAGGGGAAAAAAGGGGAAAAGGGAAAGAAAAGGGGGGAAATGGGGGAAAAGGGGAAAAAGGGGAAAGGAAAAAAGGAAAAAAAGGGGAAAAAGGGAATGGGAATGGAGAAAGGGAAATGGGGGAAAAGGGGGAAAAAGGGGGGAAAAGGGAAATGGGAATATGGGAAAAAAGGGGGAAAATTGAGGGAAAGGAGGGAAATGGGAATGGGGAAATGGGGAAAAATGGGAAAAATGGGAAAAACAAGAAATGGGGATGGGAAATGGGAAGAAAGGGGGAAAAGGGGGATACAAGTGGGATAAAAGTGGGAGAAGGGGGGAAAAAGGGAAAATGAGAATATGGGGGAAAAGGGGGAAAAGGGAAAAAAAGGGGGAAATGGGAAAAATGAAGAAAAAGGGGGAAAGGGAGAAATGGGAAAAAAGGGGGAAAAGGGAAAAGGGGGAAATTGGGGAAAAGGGAGAAAAGGAAAAAAAAAGGGGGAAAAGGGAGAAAAAGGGAATGAGGGAAAAAGGGAGAAAAGGGGAAAAGGGGGAAAATGGGAAAAAGGCGAAAAGTGGAGAAAAGGGGAAAAAAGGGGAAATGAGAATTTGGAGATAAAGGGGGAAAAGGGGGGAATAAGGGAATGGGGGAAATGGGGATGGGAAATGGGGAAAAAAAGGGGAAAAATGGGAAAAAGGGAAATGAGAATGGGAATATGGGAAATGGGAATTGGGGGGAAATGGGAATGGGAAATGGAAATGGGGGAAAATGAGAAAAAAGGGGGGAAAGGGGAAAAGGGGAATGAGAAATGGGGGGAAAAGGGAAAATGGGGAAAAGGGGGGAAAAGGGGGGAAGAAAAGGGAAAAAAGGGGAATGAAAGGGTAAAAATGGGGAAAAGGGGGAAATGGGGAAAAAGGGAATGGGGAAATGGGGATGAAGGAAAAGGGGGAAATGGGGAAATGAGAATATGGGGAAAAGGGAACAAAGGGGAAATGGGGAAAATGAGGATAAAGGGGAAAAAGGGAATGGGAAATGGGGAGAAAAGGAGGAAATGGGAATGAGGGAAAAAAGGGAAATGGGGATGTGGGAAAAAGGGGGGAAATTGAGGGAAATGAGGGAAAAAGGAAATGAGGGAAAAGGGTGGGAAAGGGAAATGGGAATGGGGAAATGGGGGAAAAGGGGAAAACCAGGAAATGGGGGAAAAGGGAATGTGAGAATGGAAATGGGAAAAAAGGGAGAAAAGAGGGGAAATGGGAATGGGAAATGGGGGAAAAAGGGGAAATGGGAGTGGGAAATGGAAATGGGGGAAAGGAGAAAAAAAGAGGGAAAAGGGGGAAAAGGAGGAAATGGGAATGTGGGAAATAGAAACAGGAGGAATGGGGGAAAAGGGGGAAAAGGGGAAAAAAGGGGAAATGAGAATATGGGGGAAAGAGGGGAAAAGGGGAAATGGGAATTGGGGAAGAGGAGGGAAAGGAAATGAGGAAAAAAGGGAAAAGGGAAATGGGAATGGGGAAAAGGGAAATGGGAATATGGGGATGAAGTAAAGGGGGGGAAATGGGGAAATGGGGAAAATGAGAAAAGGGGAATGGGAAAGGGAGAAAAAAGGGAGAAAAGGGAAAATGGGAATGAGGGAAAAAGGGAATGGGGATGTGGGAAAAAGGGGGGAAAATTGAGGGAAATGAGGGAAAAGGGGGAGAAAGGGAAATGGGAATGGGGAAATGGGGGAAAAGGGGAAAACCAGGAAATGGGGGAAAAGGGAATGTGGGATTGGAAATGGGAAAAAGGGAGAAAAGAGGGGAAATGGGAATGGGAAATGGGGGAAAAAGGGGGAAAAAGGGGAAATGGGAATGGGAAATGGGGGAAAAAGGGGAAAATGAGAATATGGGGGAAAAGGGGGAAAAGGGAAAAAAAGGGGAAATGAGAATATGGGGAAGAGTTAGAAAAGGAAAAAAAAGGGGGAAAAAGGGAATGGGAAATGGGAATGAGGGAGAAAAGGGGGAAAAAGGCAAAAAGTGGAGAAAAGGGGGAAAAAAGGGGAAATGAGAATTTGGAGATAAAGGGGGGGAGGGGGGAAGAGGGGAAAAAGAGGGGAAAAAGGGAGAAAATGGGGAAAAATTGGGAAAAATGGGGGAAATTGGGGAAAAAGGGGGAAATGAAAATATGGGGGGAAAAGGGGGGAAGGGAAAAAAAGGGGGAAAAAGGGGAAAAAAGGGGAAAAAAGGGGGAAAGGGAAAAAGGGGGGGAAAGGGGAAAGGGAATGGGAAATGGGGAAAAAAGGGGAGGAAAGGGGGAAAGGGGAATGAGGGGAAAATGGGGGGAAAATTGGGAAAAAGGGGAAATGAGAATCATGGGGGAAAAGGGGAAAAGGGAAATGGGAAAATGGGAAAAAAAGAAGAAAAAGAGGGAAAAGGAAAAAAAAAGGGGGATAAAAGGGGAAAAAGAGGGAAAAAGGAAATGGGAATACGGGGATGAAGGAAAAGGGGGGAAATGGGGAAATGGGGAAAATGAGGATAAGGGGAAAAATGAGAAAAGGGGAATGGGAAAGGGAGAAAAAAGGGAGAAAAAAGGGAGAAAAAAGGGAGGAAAAAGGGAGGAAAAAATGGGGAAAAAAGAGAGAAAAAAGGGGGAAAAAGGGAGAAAAAAGGGGGAAAAAAGGGAGAAAAGGAGGAAATGGGAATGTGGGGAAAAGGGAGAAAATTGAGGGAAAGGAGGAAAATGGGAATGGGGAAAAAGGGAAAGAAAAGGGAAAAAAGGGGGAAAAAAGGGGAATGAGAAATGGGGGGAAAAGGGAATGGGAAATGGAAAAGGAGAAAAAAGAGGAAAAAGGGAGAAAGGGGGGGAAATGGAAAAGGAGAAAAGGAGAAAAAAGGGGAAAGAGAAAAAGGGAAAAGAGAAAAAGGAAAAAACAGAAGGAAAAGGGAAAGAAATGGAGAAGGGGAAAGAAAGGGGAAGGAAGAAAAGGAAAATGAGAAAAGAGAGAAAAGAGGGAAAAAGGAAAAGGGGAAAAAGACGAAAAAAGAGGAAAAAGGAGAAGGAGAAAAAGGAAAAGGGAAAAAAGAGGGAAAAGGGAAAAACCGGGAGCAAGGGGGAGAGAAAGGGGAAGGAAAATGAGAAAGGAAAAAAAGGGAAAAATGGAAACCGAAAGAAAAAGGGAGGAGAAAAAAAAGGGGAAAAAAGGGAAAAGGAAACAAAAAAGAGGAAATAAGAAAAAGAGAAAATGGAGAAAAAAGAGGAAACAAGGAAAAACGGGAGGAAAAGAGGAGGAAAAAAGGGACGGGAAGAGAAGAAAAGGGGGAAAGGGGAAAAGGGAGCGGGGTCGGTAACGGAGGCAGCGGAACGGGAAAAGCTCCGGGACCGCCGGGGCCGCCTCAGAACCGGCCCCGCTCCCTCCCGACCCCTTCGGGACCCCAAAATCCCCCTCGGGACCCCCAAAATCGCCCCCGGGACCCCAAAATCGCCCCCGGGACCCCAAAATCCCCTCCGGTACCTCCCGGGGCCTCCTCGCTCCGCCACAGCCGAACCGGAACCGGGGCTGACGTCACAGAGACGCGCCGGAAGCTGCGTCATTGTCCGCGCCCAAGATGGCGGCCGGGCCTGAGGGGAAGGGCTGGGGAATTTATTAAAGTTTATAAATTGAGAATGTTTGTAAATGTATTAAAGTGTTTATAAGTTGAGAATGTTTTTAGATTTATTAAAGTTTTCTCCCCCAAGTTGGTTTTTTTTTTTCTTTTTCGGTTTGAGCAAAAGCGGCTTCAGAGCCTCATCCCGACCGCTCAGGGGGGAATTTCCACCTGAAATCTGCCCTAAATCCGCTCCAAATCCCCCAAAACATCCCCAAAATCCCACAAATCCCCCCGAACACCCCCAAAACGGCCCTAGATCTCCCCAAACCCCCCCCAAATCTTCCTAAATCCCCCCAAAATCCCCTAAATCCCCCCAAAATCCCCAAATCCGCCCTAAATCCCCCAAATCCTCCCGAAATCTGCCGGAAATCTGCCGTAAATCCCCCAAAATGCTCCAAATCCGCCCAAAACGCCCCAAAATCCCCCAAATCCTCCCCAAATCTGCCCTAAATCCGCTCTAAATCCCCCAAAATGCCCTAAATCCCCCCAAAGACCCCCAAAACCTCACTAGATCTCCCCAAATCCCCCAAATCCACCCCAAATCTGCCCTAAATCCGCCCCAAATTCCCCAAACACCCTCAAAACCGCCCTAAATCCCCCCCAAATCCCCAAATCTGCCTTAATTCTCCCTAAATCCGCCCTGAATCCCCCAAATCTGCCCTAAATCTGCCCCAAAATCCCCCAAATTCACCCCAAATCTGCCTTAAATCCAGCCCAAACACCCCTGTGAAAAAATCTGTATTTTATGACCGTTGTTTTGCAAATATTAAAATGAATATTATCTGCGTTTTGTTGGAAAGTGATGCTGTGTTAATTCTCTTAATTGCTGTGTTAAATACAGTTGTAGGTTATAAAAAATGTCAAAAGAGAAACGATGCTGTGTAAAATATTTATTTTTTTTTCTAAAGAAAGGATTTGCACTGAACCAGCAGCCACAGGACACCCGAATCCTTCAGAGATAGAGAATTTATCGCTCCATTTTCACAAGAAATGAAATTTTTCCTGACTCGAAGACACTGACCAGACAGAACCCAGTGTTTGGATGGAATTCATGAATAATTCATGATTAATTCATTAATAATTCATGAGGGTCATGAATATGCAACAGGCCGCTGCTGTTAAGGGTTAATCCTCTGTTCATGTGGGTTTTTTTCGGGTTTATTTTGCCCAGAAAGGGGAACCCGAAATATCCCTAATTCTTTGTGTTTGCTGTCTTGTATTGTCCTAATTCAATTCTATTATTTAATTATTTAATTATCTAATTATTTAATTATTTATTATTCAAATTAGTATTACTCTAATTGTATTACTATTTTTATAACTGTTTTATTGCTATTGAACTTTTAACATTTTAAAAACCGAGCGATTGGCGTTGTACACATCCCGAACCGGGACCCCCAGTGCTCCCAGTACCCATTCCCAGTGCTCCCAGTGCTCCCAGTACCATTCCCAGTGCTCCCAGTACCCATTCCCAGTGCTCCCAGTACCCATTCCCAGTGCTCCCAGTGCTCCCAGTACCCATTCCCAGTGCTCCCCGTGCTCCCAGTAACCACTCCCAGTGCTCCCAGTAACCATTGCCAGTGCTCCCAGTACCCATTCCAGTGCTCCCAGTGCTCCCAGTGCCCATTCCCAGTGCTCCCAGTACTCCCTGTGCCACTCCCAGTATCCCCAGTATGACCAGTTCCCCCCAGTGCTCCCAGTATCCCTTCCCAGTGACCCCCCC